GGGGCGAGGGACGGCAGGGGAAGGGAGGTCGGTGGGGCGGCTGGGGGAGGTGAGGGGCTCCCGAGCCGGCCCTCCTGCCTGGCGGGCCCGCCCCTGGGTTTCCGGCCTCTCCCGCCAAGCATCTTCAGAGACTTCACAGACTCCGCTTGCTCCTGTTCTGCAGAGGATTTTCGTTTCTGGTCATGAGGGATGGAGATAGGTAGTTTTCTTGGGACTGTTTTAGGCATTATGATCTCTTTTTGAACTTGTGATAATTTGGGGGGTGGGGGCAAGGCCTTATTATGTAGTTCGGGCTGGCCTTGAATTCACTACGGAGCCCAGGCTGGCGTCCACCTCATGGTCACCCTCCACCTCATGGGCATCCTCCACAGGCATGTGCCACTAGAACTTGTGTTAATTCGTTGAAAGGTTCAAGGAATTGTTTTAGCAAAACCATATGGGCATGTACTTACTGGCCTGTAACGACTGGAGTTTGTATCAGTATCCTTTCGTGCATGATATTGATAATTTGTCCTCTTTTTTTAGACTTGCTAGAAATTTACGGATTTTTTTTTTTTGCAATATTGGGAAATTGAACCCCAAACTTTCACACCTAGCTGCACCCCATCCCCTTTATTTTTTATTTTGAGACAGGGTCTCACTAAATCACCAAGTTGCCTGGGCTGGGATTGTCTGAGCCTCCCAGAGTGCAGGGATTACAGATTTGTGCCACTACACCTGGCTAAATGCTGGTGGCAGAGCAGCTTTTGGGTTGGCTTTTCTCCAGAGTGTTTCGGGTTTAAATCATTTCTCGTTATTCGTCCTTCTTTTTGGTTGCTTTGCACTTATACTGCTCTTTTTTCTAGATTGTAGAGGCAAAAATGTAAAATAATGATTTGAGACTTTCTTAAATATTTTAGTTCTATAAATTTCTCTCTTAAGCACAATGTTAGCTGCAGCCCCAAGTTTTGTTAATGTCCTATTTTCATTTTCATTCAGTTTAATGTGTTTTTAAAATTTCCTCTGTGACTTCTTTGAGCTATGGATTATTTAAGAGTGTGTTTTTATAAAGTTTCATGTGTTTGGGGATTTTCCAGTTATCTTTCTGTTAATTCCATTATGATCATAGAATATACAGTACTCTGATTTTAATTGCTTTAAATTCATGAAGATTTCTTGAGTGCCACAGCATCTGGTCTGTAATGGTAAATGTTACCCATGTTCTTGAAGAGAATGTGTATTGGTCTGAGTAAAGTGTTGATGTCACCTAGATCCATTGGCTAATGGTGTGGTCTATTCATCCAGGAGGATTTTCTGTCTAGTAGGTCTGCTATCCCTTTTCATGTGATTTGAACCTCAGTTATTTGGTGCTTACATGTTTAGGGTGTTTCTATCTTTTTTGTGAATTGACTCTTTAGCATATGATTTTCTTTGTTGAGGCATTGTTATGGTTTGTATTTAGATGTTCTCTCAAAGCCTTGTGTGCTCATAGGTGTGGCTTTGGTAGTGACTGGATCGTGGGAGTGCAATACTGGATGGAGAGTTTTTGATACTGGGTTAATCCATTGATTGATTTAGCATAGTTCTGGGTATGGATAATGGGAAGACCAACCCTTGGGTATGGATAGCAACAATCAATGAGCTTTTAGCCTGAATGGACAAAAAAGAAAATGAAAGAAGGTAGGCTGCTTCCTACCTCCTGCCTGCTACATCATGAACTATTATTCTTCTGCCATGTCCCTCTACTTGCCACCCTGCCTTGGAACCAGCTATGGACTCAAACCTCTACAAACTATGAGCTGAAATAAATCTTTCCTCTTTCAACTTGTGGGTGTTGTATATTTTGTCCCACAATGGAAAAGTAATGAACAGATTTTGGTACCAGAAGTGGAGTTATTACTGTGACACTACCTGGCCTTGTGGTTCAGAAGCCTGTGGAACTAGTTTATGAGAAGACTTTGCAAAGGTTTAGAGATGCTGGCTAGAGAAGCAGCTCAAGAATGCTGTGAGCAGAGCCTGATGGAAGATTCTGGTCGGAGCTTAAAAGACCAGAATGTTGACTGCAGTACAGCTGGAAAAGACCAGGCTCAAAAGGTATCAGTTGGAAACAAGGACTGTATTGGCAGTTGGATTCCAGAACATGTGTGTTATATTCTGGCAGAAAATTTGTCTACATTTTTACTCATGTCCACAAACATTTCAGGAGACTGAGAATAAGGCCACTGTACTAATTAATCTAGCAAAAGAAATGGCAAGGCAGTCTAATTTTGAGGCAGTGGTATAGCTACTACTGGGAGCTTTTACAGAGTTCTACCTTGCAAATCCAGAGCAAAGGGCTCAACAGAATGATTTTAAAAGTTTTGAGTTTGGCCAAAAGAAAGTAAATTACCTACTGCAAAATTGGAGTAGAGGAGCACTTGGTTGCTGAAAGGATTGGCACTAAAAAGCCAAGTCGTTTGGAACTGGACAATAGAAAAGATGGCCTGAGTGAATTACAAGAACCAGCAGGATTCCACCCTTTGCAGCCTCTAAATTGCAAAGGTTGATGACTTTGCTTTGAGAAGAGAACCCCAAAGCACCATGTATCAGAATGGTGGCAACCTAGAGAATTTGTTTCTTAGGGTTGGGTTCACAGTGCTCAGGAATCTAGATACTCCACCTCTATGGCCAAGAGAAAAGGAAGCCTGGCTACTGCTTCGGTTGGCAGCAGATCCTGGCATCGTCCACATGGTGCTGGTTTTAGGTGCATGCAGAATGCAAGAGTTGTGGGGTCAGGAAGGTTTCCACCCAGATTTCAAAATGCCTGGAAGGCCTGGTAGTGTGCTTCTGTGAAGCTGTGAGTGTGAAGCTGAAGGTGCAGTAGAGACCCCCCAAAATGGAGAAGCAACGAATGTGAATCATCTGAGGAAAGCTGCAAAGAGTGAGCAAAGTCAGCCCAAGAGAGAAGCCATGAGAGCTGCAACAACCAGCGGTGCCATAGAGCAGGGCCACTCAAGTCTTTTGGAGTTGATGTCTTGCCCCAGATGCTGGGCATAAAACTATGGGATTTAATGTTTTCTTTACTGAATTTTGGTCTTGTTTTGATCCTATTCTTTTTTGTTCTCCTCTATACCTTTTGGAATGGAAATCTTTATCTTGTGCCATTGTCTATTGGAAGGGTTTAACTTTCTTTTTATTTTTACAGGGGCTCACAGCTGAGTTTGCCCTAAATCTCAAGAGGAGAATTTGGACTTGAACTTTTCAGCAGTGCTGAAAGTGTAAGGATTTTGGCAACTCTTAGAGATGGACTAAATGCATTTTGCTTAAAGGAAAATACATCTTTGGGGACCAGGAGCAGAATGTTTTGGCTTGTATCTTGATGTTCCCCCAAAGCTTCATGTGGTCATAGGTGGGGTTCTTGGGAGTAACTGGATCATGGGTGTGTGATACTGGATTATGGCTATGATGACCAGATTAAATTCTTAATTGGATTAGCATAGTTCTGAGTATGCCTGAATGCATTTACTGAAGACAGAAGACCCACTGTGGGTGTAAGTGGCACCAATCAATAGGCTTGTAACCTGAATGGAATAAAAAGGGAATAAAAGAAGGAAAGCTGCTTCCTGCCTCCTGCCTACCACATTATGAACTGTTTCTCCTCTGCCGTGTCCCTCTGCCATACTACCCTGCCTTGGAACTAGCTAACTCTAGACTGAAACCTCTATAAACCATGAACTAAAATAAACCTTTCCTCCTCCTTTAACTTGTGGGTGCCAGGTATTTTGTCCCAGCAATGAAAAAGTAATCAAGACTTTCTTTGATAATTGTGTAGCTATTCTGTCTTTACTTTTTTATTTATTTATTTATTTATTTTTGGTATTGAAGATTGAATCAAGGGGCTTGGGCTTCATGAATGCAGGCACTCTACCACTAAGTTCCAGCCTGTCTCTTCAGCTCTTGGTCAGCATTTGCATGGTAAATCTTTTCCCATCTCGTTACTTTAAATTTTTACTTGCCTGTGTCATCATATTTAAAATGAGTTTCTTGGTTTGTTATTTTTATCCACTGTTTGTCTCTGTCTCTTAGTAGTATTTTTGTACTGTTTACATTTATTGTAATTGTTACTATACCAGAACTTAAATGTGCCGCTGTAGTGGTTTTTTTATATTTCTTTTTTGCTCCTCTTTTCCTGCCTTCTTGTGGTTTACTTGCATATTTTTAGTATCCCATTTTGACTTCTCTGTTTCAAAGTATGTCTCTTTGTATGGTTTTCTTCATGGTTACACATTACAGTATAAATATGTAACTCAACACGGTTTACTTGTGTGGATATCTTACCATGTTCAAGTGGAAAGTACAACTTTACCACCACTGAAGTTTATTTGCCATCACTATCTTAAAATTTAGGCTTGACCAAACTTGAGAACCACATTAGTGATATGATTTTTTTTTTTTTTTACCACCACCTAATATTTTAAGTAACTGAGACAGAGACATTTACCTACATTTACCTCTTCTGTCATTCTTTCTTTATCCCTGATGTCTCCGATTTCCTTCTGGTTTTTTTTTTTTGTTTGTTTGTTTTTTTCCTTCACGTTTGTGGAAATTTTTAAAGCAATTTTCTTAGGACAGGTCTTTTGGTGACAAGTTTGCTTAAATGTTTCTTCATCTGAGACTAATTTACCTTAAATCTAAAATACTGTTTTCAGGAGATGTAGAGTTTTGATTAGAAAGTTCTTTTGGTACTTGAACAACTCCACTCAGACCTCCATGGTGTCTAAAGAGTAATCCACTGTCACTAAAGTTGTTTCCCCTATAGGAAATATGTCTTTTCTACATGATTGCTTTCAAGATTGTTTTGGTGTTTTTGTTTTTGTTTTTGTGACAGGGTCTCACTATGTAGTTGAGACTGACCTGGAACTTACTATGTAGCTCAGGCTGGTCTCGAACTTGCAGCAATCCTCCTACCTCAGCCTCCCTAGTGCTGGGATTACAGGCATGCACCACCACGCCCAGCAATTGCTTTCAAGATTATTGTCTTTAATTTTCAGAAGTTTGATTCTGATGTGTCTAGGTGTGGCATTTTGGGATTTATCCTTTTTGGATTTTCTGAGCTTCTTGGATTTGTTTTTGTCAAATTTGGAATTTTACAGCCTCTGGTTTTTCACATTTCAGTATTTTTTTTTTTAATGGCACACCAGCTTGCCTCTGCAAGGCATACTCAATGCCATTACAAAAGGTTTCTTTAAAATCAAAAAGACAGTTTGGGTCTGAATAAGCAAATACTTTCCCAGGAACATTTATATGTTAAAATAATTAACTTTGAAGCTCCAGTTAGAATGTTGTGAATATTACGAATGAATGTTGGGTCTTTTTTCTCACAGGTTCCAGAAGTTCTGCTTATTTCTATGTTGGCTAGACTGGACAGTTGTAGTCAGTTTGTCTTTGTGTTTACTCATTTAGAATTATTTCCCTCTGTAATCTTCAGTTTTCTTTATATCTTCTGTTTGTTTGCCAAGAGTGTTTTTTCAATTGTTTTAGGGGCCAGGGATTTAACTCAGTGGTTCCAGTGCCTGCCTTGCAAGCGCAAGGACCCGAGTTCATTCTCTGGTACTGAAAAAAAAAATAAACAAATAAACAAAATCACTTGTTTTAGGAATGTTTATAATTGCTTGTTGAAGTAATTTTATGACAGTTATTTTATAATTCCTTGTTAGATCAATTCTGGTTTCCCTGTAATCTTATTTGTGTCTGTTGATTGTGTTTTTTCATTTTCAAATAGAGATTTTTCTGGTTCAAGGTCTTTTTTCATATCATGAATATTTTGTGAACTGTAAGACCCTGCTTCCTTTTTAAATCTCCTCACTCACCGCTGGCACCTGCTACCTGTGTGCCCTTATTGCTGAGCTGGCAGCCAGGCTCTAGAGTCAGAAGCCCTTGCTATGCCACCCTGAGACAGAAGTCAGGTCTACTGGCATGGGCCTGTGTTCTCGTGTCAGCTGATGTAGTACTGATGTCTGAATCTGTCCTGCCAGGCCTCCTCTAAGCCTCTGACCACAGAGAGCAAGCTAGGTCTTTGTGCTTTGGTATTTCTGCAGTGTTTTGGGGTACTTAGTTTGGGATGTACAGGAGATTTGCACACATGCATACACATGGTCAGTCATTTCTTGTGGTCCCTGGACAGTTGGCTTCTGTCCTTGCCTTCAAGTCCAGTACTTGTCTTGTGCATTTCTGTCCAGGGTGCCTGGTATGAAGTTGGGAGGTACAAAGTGCAGTGCATTAGGAACTGAAAGTCCTTAAATCTTGTTGTGAACTTAATTATTTTAACATATAAATGTTCCTGGGAAAGTGTTTGCTTATTCAGACCCAAACTGTCTTTTTGATTTTAAAGAAACCTTTTGTAATGGCATTGAGTATGCCTTGCAGAGGCGAGCTGGTGTGCCAAGCATTTGTTGTCTGCCCCAGAAGTAAGGGCTGGTGATCTCAGGCTGTGGTCCCTATATGGAGGCCATGAAGGATTGGGGCTATGCCGTTAGTTAAGAGAACAAGTGCAGCTAGAGCAGGATGCTCTTCCCAGGAAAGCAGACAAGTAGGAAGAAGGAGGTGATGGGCTAGAGTCAAATTGGAGAAAACATAAGCTGAAACTTTAAATACAGTTCCTCTTCTTTAATGTTGATATTCAAACTTTGTATTATTATTAACAGTACTGGAGATTAAAACCCAGGGCCTTTCCACTGAGCTACATTCCCAGTCCTTTTCTATTTTTCATTTTGAGACAGGATTTTGGAAAGTCACTAAGTTACTGAGGCTGGGCTTAAATTTGCTAAGTGACTTTCTTTCAGGTTATGAATATCTTATTGTAAGATATCTTATTATATAATATCTTATTATTATAAGAAAACATGGAAAATGCAGAAATGTATAAGAAGGAAAATGAAGGAAGTTATTCTGAATGGATTAAATGTGCTAACATTTTATGCCTTTCAATCTTTTTATATCTGTGTATCAAAGAAAAGGATTCAGTAGCATTTATTAAAGAAGAGTTAAAGGAGACTATTCTGGACCATTTGGACAGGTATAAGGACTACTGCAGTGGGATTTTGCAGTGGGGGAGAGGATTGGGTTCGACTGTGAATACAATGTGGATATTTTTAGCCAAGCCAGGATGGTGGTGGGAGTCAGTGGATGGAAAATTACTAAGAGAAAACAAGAAATCAGAGGGAGTTTTTTTCTGAAGACAGGCCAGGATGGTGGAGAGTGAGGAACTTGGTCAGGTGTTGAGGGTGAGTGGGTATTGAGAAATGGGGCTCCTTGTTGATGTGTCTTAAGAGAGCTCTTTGATAACACTGAATTTTACAAGGAAGTACACAAATGGGTTTAGGAAAAGGTTCAGCAGCCCAACAACAGTTTGGCCAGATAATCTTCATATCCTATATTTTTAAAAACTAATAATTTGGACTTTTGTTATATATTTATTTTCAATTTAAGAAGGATGAAAATCTTATAATTGTTTATTTTTAGCTGAACTTCAGTCATTATCTATTCGTGGAACATACCAAGAGCAGATTACTCACCTAGGCAGTTCTCTGATGCATCTAACAGGTCTAAAGTCTTTAGATCTTTCACGCAACTCTTTGGTTAGCCTAGAGGTAAGTTTTTAGGTTTGTTTCTCTTTTTTTTGGTATCTGGGATTGAACTTAGGACCTTGTGTTTGCTTGCAAGGCAGGCGGTGGAACCACTGAGCTAAATCCCCGGCCCTGGGTTTGTTTCTTAAAAGAAAATTTATTGCTGCAAAATCAGTAGAAAGTGTAAATTCACAGTAAATGTAATATATTTTATAACTATGCATGAAGTACTTACAAACTGTACCTTACAATGAAGCATAAATGTTATATTATTTACTATGAGCTAGATTTCTTACATGTCACATTTCATCTTTAAACTACTTTGAAAACCAAAGTCAGCTTTCTGCTTCTGATGATTATCTTTAAAAGGAATTAAACAAGATCCCAAAGATGCAAGTGAGGGTGTCCCTACCCCTCCATCCCCTTATCAGCCATGTCATTTTCACTTTCTATGCTTCATATCCACTTATGGTCTAACTTCAGCTTCTGGTTCTAACTGGACCTCCCATGAGCTTGGGACTTAATGCAACATGGCCATGGGCAGCCACTCTGTCCAGATGTGATTCAGAAATCACCCCAGTGACCCAAGTGGGAAAGTTGTATAAACTCTGCTTGTAGCTTGATTCAGAGAGGAAGTTCTCCCTTGACAGAAATGCAGGACATTACGGCTCTAGAACATGATACTGTATAGGCCGCACTGACACACAGCGTGAATCTTGGCTCAGTAATGCTGCACCCAATTCTGGTTCTTCTCCCAGCCCCCCAGTCCTTGGTTTCCAAACAAGTCTGATGCTGACAGGTTGTGTGCAGAATAAATGAAACTGATTCTCTTCATATGGGCCATACTAAGAACTCAAGAGATTGTAGTTGTGCTTAGCACCATGAAGACTGGCAGATATGCATTCAGACATCCATCTGTATGTAGTTGTTTCACTTTGGAGAATGCAGAACTTCACAGATGAGAACACCTTTTGTTTTTGTGCTTTTCTGGCAATAGAATGTGTTCAGTGTAAGTGCATCTAAGTTGGTCAGTCAGGTGGCTTACTTTGCTGTGTTTATTTTTTAAAGCATTGACTAATGAGCATGTTTCCTGTTAACAGGGTATTCAGTACCTAGTTTCTTTGGAAAGTCTCAACCTCTACTACAATTACATCTCCTCCTTAGCAGAAGTATTTCGGCTCTACACCTTACCTGAACTCCAAGACGTGGACTTGCGGCTGAATCCAGTTGTGAAGAATGAGCCTGACTACCAACTATTTGTGCTGCACGTGCTCCCCAGGATCCAGCAGCTGGGTAAGCAGGGTGGCACCCTCACTCTGGAGCTGGCAGGGAGATTGAGCTTTGATTCCTTCTGGAAAGGGAAGTTGACTTTCTACTTTCTATGAGGCCTGAATACCTGGAGTCAGAAGGCACTTGGCCTTGTGTCTTCACAGGGTAGTTCTGGTAGGGGAGCTGTCTGGGTAGGGTATCAGGGACCACGCTGTTCTGGACTAGGCTGCTGTCCTATTCCTGCAGACAGTTTGCCACTTTTAGCTCTTTGTCTTAGTCACTTTGTCACTGGCATCCACATCTTAAGGGAGGAAAGATTTACTTTGGCTCACAGTTTGTAGAAGTTTCGGTTGTAGTTGGCTGGCGCCAGCACAGACCAGCATAGTACGGGAACATGGTGGAGAGAAAGCTGCTCGTGGCATGATGGCAGGGAAGCAGAGAGAGCAAAGAAGGAGCTGGAGGAGAGATAGACATTCCCAGGCCATACCCTCAGTGATCCAACCTCTTCTTAATAGCAAATCAGCTATAAGCCCCCATGATCCAATCTCTTTCCAAAAGCCCCACCTTTGAGCACATGAAGCTTAGGAGACATCTAGATGTAAACCATAACGCTATTTGACTTGAGCACATTTGTAAATTTGCCTTTTCTTCAAATGGCTCTCGGGTATCATTTTGGGCTCATCTAGACAGCTGGTTTCTCCCTGGTTTTGCATCCACCTGAAAGGACAGGCAAGCAGTTCTTTACGTCTCCCCAGGTGACAGAGATGAGAGCGAACAGAGTGCGGTGACCACCTTGTCTTTGGGTGTCCAGATGGCAGGTGCTGGGGCTGTGAGCACCCCCAAGAGCCAGTGGTGTCTGGAGACTTCATGTCCTACAGTGTAGTTGTGGTGAAAATCTCTGTCAAAGTATGTGGTGTTGGCCTCCTGGGAGCTTGGCCATTCTGTGAGATCATAGTGCTGGGCTGTGTGTCTGAAGCACACTGTGTAGTTTGAAACCTACTTGCAATTTCCATGTTTAGCACTTTCCACGTTTGAAGACATTTGGGCGAAGTAAGGGCTGTGTTCTAACTTTTATTTGACTGAGCAAATAACTTACAAATGGTTGGGTTTAGCTCTTTTTTTAGAAACATTACAGTAATTATAGTTACTTGTGGGAATCTTCAGTTTTAAACCATTGCTGTCTCTTTGTCATAATAGAGTTAGATTCCGAATGTTACAGTGTTTAACATAGAGAAGGAATATGAGTCTTCCTGAACATGAAGACACAAAAGAAATGTCGTTGCAGTCAAAGTCATTGTAAAAATCTGTCTGGGTCCACCCTGCTACCAGGTGCCTAAGAAGAGCACTCCATGTCATTGGTGGATAGCTGGAAGACCCTAGAGGGGTGTGCAGAGGAAGTGAGGGTGGTGCAGTCTGGGCAGGGATGGTACAGTCCGGAGAGGCTGTGGTTTGGGTGGGGGAGCTACATCTAGCTTTGGATGTTCTGAGTGGTTCAGGGAGATTATCTTGGAGTAGGGGACTTGGAGCGAGCTGCTCAATGAGTAGAGTTGGTTCTCCAGCAAGGGCAGGGCGCTTGATCTGTGTTGCAACTTTGGTGGAGTAGGGAAGGCTAGATGCTGAGATCTAAGGATGTGAGAGCTTAGGAAACGGTAGAAGTGGGCGTCATATACCTGGGGTATTGTATGTAGATAGAAGAGCAGTCCCAGCTTGCAGGGCTTCCATCCTGGCACTGCTGTGTGACCTTCAGAACTCTGGATTTTCTACGTTGAAAACTATATCGCACTACTATATTTATGCATTTCATACTAATTGTAATTTTTAAGCTATACAGTAGAGTTCTTTGGAAGTTAGCCTTGGACTTGACTACATCTACAACATTAGTTCTGTGCTAAAATAGTCTCCAAGAGCTTTTGGGAAAAGCCTCCTGAGTCCCCAGGCCTACACGTGGGGCAGTTAAATTTCTCATGTCTCTGTGGTCCAGCCCAGTGGACCTGTGGATGCACACCCTAAGGGCAAATCACATAGCTTTAGTCCTCTTCAGTGTGTTTGGGATTCTCTATACAGGGACTTGACAGTGTGCCATATCATGAGAATTTCATCTGGCACCTGGTGTGCATGTGCAAGGTTGTGGGAGTGTGTGCACCTTACACGTACGCTGCTGTTCCCATGAACAACAGCCTGCAGTGGGCCTGAGCAGTGAGCTTCCAGGGGGCGGGCCAGCCTCATATTGGTGCCTTTGGCATCTCTGTCATGGGAACCAAGCACAGCCCCTGGAGCCCAGCATCCCTGAACTTGGCCTGCCTCATGCTGACAGGATACTGTGGCAGGTCAGCCCTAGGTGTGCGGAAGCTTCCTGTGTAGTGTGCTCCATGAATAAGGCAGTTGTCACCCACTGTTATGGCTTGTGTTTAGATGTCTCCCAAAGCCTCATGCTTTTCCAGAGGTAGTTAAATCTAGAACGTGTCATTGACTTATGGCAGGGTTAGGCCTGAAGGCACTGCGATTAAGAGTATGAGGGTTATCCACCCTAAGTAGTCTGAAGAAGATAAAGGGGCTATTGAGGGGTTTTGTTGCCTTTTGCTGTCTTCCACCGCCACACACTGTTTCCCTCGTTGCCTTTGCTACTTTTTGCACACAATGTTGTTTGTCCTCTGCAATGCCTATCTGCTGTCCCTGCCTTGGAGCCAGCTGATTATGGACTGAAACCTCTATAGACTGTGAGCTAAATAAACCCTTCCCCCTTTAACTTTGGGTTCTGGGTATTTTGTCTCAGCAACACGAGAAAAGTAACTACACACTCACCCTGGTCCTCTGCAGTTCTCTGGAATTTTCTCCCTAGATGATCGTCTGGTGAGAAAAAGTGAGCGGAGGGCTTCCCAGCTACGTTTTGCTTTGGCGGACTCATTCGACTCAAAGGAGAGCTTACCAGCTGCTTTTAAAGTTGGAAGGTATGGATAGACATGGTCTGAGCACTCTACATTTTTCAGATTGGCCTGCCGACAGGACATTCAGCCACAAGTTGTAAGTGCCTATGTGTACCAGCTACTCTTCAAGAGCAAATTCACAGGAACAGAGGCAGGAGGTGCCTGCCATGACTAGGACAGGGTCTCTTTACTTCTTTTTCACATTTTTAACATTTTAAAATTGTTACTAGAGTGGGTATGTGTAAAATCAACCAGTGAAGATGGCTCACAAAGAGAAACAGAAGCCCTCCTCCTGGTCCTCAATTGTGTTTCACGTCTGTGACTGCTTCTGCTTACAGGCCCTGCTCAAGTAACTTTCTTACATCTTGTACCACCAAGTCCTACTTCTCGTGTGAGTGTTTTAAGTATGAACCCCTTCCTGGATGCTGGGTGGAGACTGGGGTGTCTTACAGGCCGCTCCTCCCCAGACGAAACGGTTCATAGTTATTCCCTCTCTGTCTCTCTGCTTTTGTGGCCGGTGCTCCTGGTCTCTCCCTGGTTGGGTTCTCAGTGCCACACCTGTCTCATCCCACTTCCCACATCACAAATACTGCCATCTGAATCTTCATTTACATATCATACTGTCAGGTTGATTGTATTTAATGTACCCTACAATCATAAAAAGCCGTCATGCTTTGTGTGGGGGTTGTTTATAAAGAGCAAAAATTCCACAAACCACATTAAAGTTGTTGAATGAAGAGCTTAAATTTTATCCTCTTTCTGGTTTGCCATTTTGTTTTATCTGTAGCTATTAAGTTTTTTTTTCTTTTATTATTTACCTTAGCTCATCCTAAATTCCTTTAATGCAAAGGTTGACCAGTTGTTTTTTTTTTTATGAACAACCAGAGGAGGAATGTTTTAATTTCTGAGAGCCAAATAATTTATCTTATCTTTTCAACTCTGTGGCATGGAAGTGGCCATAAGTGATATATGGAAATGATGACAGTGTTCTAATAAAAACATATAGTGAACCAGATTCGGCCTGTGAGCCACATTTTACCTACTTTATTTTCTCAAGAGTGGTTCCAAATCCTTGGGGTCTCCTGAGATGCCTCCCCTACATCCCTGTCTCTCATTTCAAACTGTGTAGACAGCTGCACTATGGTACCTGGCAAGTTTTTGGGGGTGGAGATACTGTTTGGATGTCATACAATCCCTTGTCTCAGTTTTCTCTTTTATTTTACTGTACACATTACTGTTTAGGGAACATCAGCATACTTACTGCATGCTTTGGTCTAAACCTGCGGTTTATGGAGGAAATCTTAAAAGCAGAGAAGTAGCAGAGTGCATGTGAGCTCTCGCCCCACAGAGAGGCAGGCTGGACCTAGAAAGGGGAAAGACTTGGGGAGGGCTGTCTGCCTGCCTTCATCATTGCAGGAAGGGGAGAGAAACAAGGGGTGCTGGTCACTAGAAAGGGGCCTTGCAGGGAATGGGCTCCTGGAGCACACATGCCCTTAGCTTCTTTGTCTGTTGCAGACTGACTGATTGTTACTTGCTCAGTGGAAAAGGAGCTTCAGGCCACCCAGCTCTCCCCTCCTTGCATGAAGAAGAGTGTGTGGAAGTGGGCAGTACATGTGGTGGCTTAGTCCTCACACTTGGCACATAGCGAATCCTCTTCTAGTTAACAGCGTCTTAGTTCAGGCTGCTAACAAAGTGCCACAGACCCTGTGGCTTACAATCAACAGACATTTATTCCTTACAGCCTGGGAGCTGGAACTCTGAGGTCAGTTTGTCAGCATGGTTAGCTCTCTTCTGGCTTGTAGAAGCCACTTCCCACTGTGTCCTTATATGGTGGCAGGGGCATGAGGGCTGCCTGAGGTCCCTCTTATGAAGGCACTGATCCCATTAATCAGAACTCTGTCCTCATGACATAATCACCTGAGAGCCCACCTCCTAATATGTCATCTGGGGTTAGGGTCTTAACATAGAAATTTGGGAGGGACACAAATACTCAGTCTTTTGCAATAGCTTTATATTTGATACTAGTTTAGGTTTACAGGAAAACAGTGCAAAATACAGACAGTTTCACCTGTTAATAATTTTGACCAATGCATGGTTATGTATCCATCCTTACAGTATCACAGAATAGTTTCACTGCCCTGATAATCTCCTGTGTTCCACCTATTCATTTTTCCTTTCCTTCTCCTAAAACCTCTGTTCTTTTTCATTATCTCAGTAGTTTTCTCTATTCCAGAATGCCACATAGTTGGAATTTGCAATGGTTTGGATATAATTTATATGTGTCCCATAAGGGTTCATTTTTTAGAAGCTTGTTCTTCATTGTGTTGCTGTTAAGAGCTGGTGGGACTTGAAGAAGTGGGGCCTGGTAGAAGAATGCTAGGTCATTGGGGGTGTGTCCTCAGAAAGAATGAGAATAGCCCAAGCCCTGAATCACTCTCTGACCTCCAGTGCACATCCACCATAATGTGGCACAGCCAAGGGGCCTTCACCAGAGGTCAGCATCATCATATTTGGGCTATCATACTCCAAAACTGAGCTGAGTAAATCTTCATTCAACTGCTGAAGGACAACTTGGTTTTGCTTTTAAGTTTTGGCAGTTGCCAATAAACTGCCCTAAACATTTGTGTGCAGGTTTTTATGTGGACCAAAGTTGTCATTTCATTTAGATGCATACCAAAGATCTTGGACTGCTGGCTAGTATGGTCATAGTATATGTACTTTGATGAGTTGTCAGTGTCCTCCAAAGTGGCTGTACATCTCCTGTTTCCATCAGCGGTGAGTAAAAAAAAAGTCCCTGTAGCTCCACATCCTTGTCAGCCTTTGGTGGTGTCAATGTTTTGAAAGCTAGCTGTCCTTGTGGAGGTGTGGCCTCATCTCATTGTTTTAAGTGCCATTTCCTGATGATGTGTGCTGTGGTTTGTCTTCTCATGTGCTCTTTACCATCTGCATATCATCCTTGGTGAGAAGACACTTCAGATCACTGCCCACTTTTGATCAGGTTGAGTTTTAAGAGTCCTTTTTATTTTGGATGTTGTCCTTTATCAGATATATGCTTTAGAAATATTTTCTCCCAGTCTGTGTCTTGTCATTTTATTCTCATAACAGCATGTGTCACAGAGCAGAAGTGTTAAATGTTAATGAAGTCCAACTAAACAGTTATTTCATTCATGGATGTACTTTTGTTGTTGCTTTTTGGTGTGTACCGGAGGTGGAACTGAGGACTGCAGTTGTGCAGCAGGGTAAATCCCTGGCCCCTTGTTGCATTTTAAGTTACTGCCAAACCCATGGTCCCTAGATGTTCCATGTTATCTTCTAGGAACTTTGTAACTTTGCATCTTATAATTAGATCTGTGGTTCATTCTGAGTTTATTTTTGTGAACAGTGTGAAGTATGTGTTCAGATTCATTTTTATACTGTCCTTTGAATTTCCTTGGCTTGTTTGCTAATGTGTGTAAGAGTTTGTTTTTGGGCTCTATTTTGTACCATTGATGTGTTTGTGTTTTCACCAGTGCCACTCTGTCTTGATTACTGTAGCTTTATAGTAGGTCATGAACTCAGTGGTTTCAGACCTATGGCTCTGTTCTTCTTCATCAGTATAACATTGGCTATTTGGGGCTTTTTACCTTAGTGTGAACTTCAGAATCAGTTTGTTGATATCCACAAGATAACTTGCCGAGATTTTAGTTGGGATTTTGTTGAATCAAACTGGGAAGAACCAACGTTTTGACAATATTGAGCCCCCCATGAACATGGAATATCTGTTTAATTCTTTGATTTCTTTCATCAGTTTTCTATTTTTCATTTCTATCATACTCATAACATTCTACTCTAAATGGTGTTGTATTTTTTGTTGTTGTTTCAAATTCCAGCTGTTCGTTGCTGGTATTAAGAAAGCAGTCAAGGGCTGGGGATTTAAATCAATGGTTCCACTGCCTGCCTTGCAAGTGCAAGGTCCTGAGTTCGATCTCCAGTACAAAAAAAAGAACAAAAGGAAGGAAGGAAGGAAGGAAGGAAAATTGAGTTTTGTATAGACTCTGTGTATTAGTTTCCCAAGGCTGGTGTAACAAAGTACCACAAACCAAATTGCTTGGAGTAACAGAAATGCATTGTCTCAGTTCTGAGTGGGTGAAACTAGGCAGAGGTGTTGGCAGGGTGGGTAAGAGCTGTGAGGGAAATTCTCTTCCATGCTTGTCTCCTGGCTGCTGGTGGTGTGCTGGTAATCTTTGGTGTTCCTTGGCTTGTGGATAGATTTTCTTACCCTCTACCTTCACATGGCCATATTCTCCCTTTGTCTCTTCACAGAATCTTTACTCTGTATAATCCTATGTCATGTAATGTATACCTCAGACCACAATGGAATTAAACTAGAAATAGTAACAGAGAGGTAGTCGGAAAATTCCCAAATACTTTGAGATTAAACAGCTCCCTTCTAAATAATGAGTTGAAGGTGGAATCTTAAGAGAAATTTAAAAAGACTTGGAATAAATAAAAAGAAAACATAACTTATCACAATAAGGGGAAAATCACATGATCATATCAATACATACAGAAAAAGCATCTGATAATAAGCCGAAAGACAATTTCTGAGCAAAAAAGGTTTTTCCTATAGCTAGCTGACTAAACTAACAAAAGCTACCCCCAGCTTCCCACCCCCATACCCAACACATGTCCTCCTTCATTGTCCTTTGTTCTCAGGATGTGTCTGTATCCAGTGTTATTTTTCTATCAAATCGTGTTAACTAACTGTAGCTTCCCTTAACCCCTATAAATCTTGTTCAATGCTGATCGCTTTGTGGAGAAATCCCCGATCAGTCCCCTGGTGTAATAAACTTGCCTCCAATCTCTGGTTGTGTTCTTGATTCTTCTTGGCTTTATCTTGCTATACAGCTAAGAGCTGCCACACTGTGGACTGTAAGTTTACCGTTACAATAAAATCCAACACTTAGTTGTAATAAAAACGTGCAGGAGTAGAAGGGACTTCCTCAACTTGACAAAGACTGTCTACAAAAACTACAGCCCACTTCATGCTTAATAGTAAGAAATTAGCTTTCCTGCTAAAACCAGGGACAAGGCAAGGAGGTCCCCACCTGCTACTGCTCCAATAATGTAGAGGAAGTCCTAGCTAATGCAGTAAGACAGGTAAAAGAGATAAAAGATAACACAAATTGGAAAGGAAGAAATAAAGCTATTTTGCTCACACATGACAGGTCTAAATAAAAAATTCTCCCAAAGAATCAGCAAAAACCTCCTGGTACTAAGTGATCACAGTAAAGTTATAGGATACAAGGTATGATTGTCAATTTGACTGGATTGAGAAATGCCCAGGAAATTGGTGAAGCACACTTACGGGTGTGTCTGTGAGGGTGTTTCCAGAGGTGACTGGCATGTGGGGTCCATGGGACCACTCAGCCTGAATGTGGGTAGCCCCATCCAAAAGGCTGCACGCCCAGATGAAACAAAAAGAGGAGGAGGAGGAAGCTAACCAGTGCAGGTTTTCCCTCTCCATCTTCTCCCTGTCTCTCCTTCCTGGGTACCATGAATACAGCTCACCATAGTGGAGAATCAATTGGAGACCTGAGGTTATTTTCCTGCAACTAGAAAGCCCCACTCAGGACTGATGTGAGACATTGATACCAAAGTTTGTTGCTTATATCCAGCTAGCCCTGTAATCTCATTTTGGTTGCTCTCACTGCAGAAAACTCTGCTTCACAATAGGATGTTGAAAATAGAAGCAGGCTTTTTGTGTGTGTGTGGTACCAGGGATAGAACTCAGGACCTTGCGCTTGTAAGGCAGGCGTGGTCCACTGAACTGAATCCCTGGCCCTTAGGAACAGGCTTTTTAGTGCTTTTTTGACATTCTCAGAATGTTCTACCTTAACTATAATCCAGAGCATATGGAGATTTGAAGTTGTCTAGACATGCTTTTAAGGCCACTGTCATTGTGATCTGAAGCACCTGATCTCTTTCCATTGTAGAGAAAGATGATATTGGTTTATTTATAAATGGGTGCAGATCCATTCTTTCCTGGTCTGGGGATCTTTTGTAGTTTAGAAGTAATACTTAAGCTCTTAAAAGATGAGATGGGTGATCATGCACCAGTTGGGAAAAGGGCCTGGCTCAGTCTGTTTCAAAATGTCTACTAATGTTAGAAGTAAATCAAAAGCCTCAGGTTGGGTGTGGTGGCACACACCTGTAATCCCAGCACTCAGGAGGCTGAGGCAGGAGGATCACTGTGAGTTCGAGACCAACCTGGGCTACATAGTGAGTTCCAGGTCAGTCTCAACTACATAGTGAGACCCTGTCTCAAAAACAACAACAACAACAACAACAAAAAAGCCTCAGTGTTTACTCATCATCCCCATAATTCCAGTTTGGTTTTGAATTTAGCCACTTTTATCTGCTGACTTGGACAAAGTAGTCATTCTCCCCTAAAGTGATAGATTGCGTTCATTGAACAGGTTGATTATGTCCCAAAAGTAAGTGAGTTTTATGACCCATTCTGGGCCACTGATACGCGCTGCCAGTTATAATTATTTCTCTGAAAGAAATCTCTGAAGCAGCTCTTATAACACAGTAAATCTGGCCAGCAATCTTCCTTTAGAAGGCCATCCCCTTCCACCTTAGGATGGATTTAATGTCTAACCCTCTGATCCTGTCTGGATCTCTGGTGACAGCCCCCTCCTGATCTGCCCAGGGCCCAGCCATCAGCTAGCTCATTCAGGACTTTGGTCACTCAGGAAGTTCTAAGGATTTGGAGATCTGTGTGTAAGGAGACCAGGTAAAGGAGCAAACACGTGCTTCATGGTATCACAGTAGGCAAATTTTTCACCACAGTTGAGTGGCCCATTATATTGTGTGAAAGCTTTAGTTGTGGCTATTGTCATTGCAGATAGCGTCTTCTGTCCTTGATACTTAGGGGTATCACAAAGGCTTGAGTTAAGGACCTAATAGGTGACCTGGGCTGGTTTACAAGGGCTATCTACAAGGGACCATGGACATGAGTGGCTGTGCTATGCTCAGACATCAGGTGTCTATGGGCAGACTGAGGCCCTGGGTCCCCTTCTTTGGGCCATGCCCTACAGAAACCAGAGCAGCAATGAAACATCACAGATGTGAACTTCTTCCTGTGCTACCGACCGTAGGGCAGCAAACACGGGATTTCACGAGGAGATACAGGTTCTCTGAAAGGTGGGAGCAGGTTCGGCAATGACAGTCAGACAAAAGCACTCAACACCGAGGTGAAGTTTGCAAATGCTGCTGCAATTTTATTTCTAACTCTAGGTGTTTATATACTAGTTTCAAGGGCACACCTCAAGAGTGATTTCAGGCACAGGCAGGCGTGAGAAAGATAGACAATAGTACTGTAAAAACTAAGACCACAAGGTCAAGTTAAGACCACACCTATATACCATCACAAAAGCTAAGACCATTAAGTCAAGGTAAGACCACACCTATACGCAGTCAGAAGGGGAACTTTGTAAAACAAAGGACTGGCTTCAGCATGTCACCTTCAGGATCACCTTCAGGACTTCACAGTCCGGGGCTCAGGGTCAGCACTTTGGCCGCCCGTCCTCTTGTGCCTCAATACCTCCCCATCTCTAGGAACATCTAATTGTTCCTAACCTTTCCTGGGCCCAGAATACAATTCTACAGATAATGGACAAATAGTAATAAAGACAAAATAGAACAGAATTATAAATGAACCCAATGTCCCCAAACTGCAGGCAGAGAGGCCAGCTATTCTCTTCACGGCTGACTTCGCATGCGGTGTGTGCCAAGGACTTCCAGGAGGCTTAACCCCGTGGGGACGATACCTCGGGTCTGGTTTCTGCCAGGTGACCGGCATTGTCACGCAGACTCCACTGGAGTGGTCGTGGCATTCCTGAGAGCAGTCTTCATAGCATTTGCATTGGGTTTGTTGGAGTGTTGTGGCAGAGCACAGCAGCTCAGTGCTATAGCCAGGTGTTACAGCTCATTGTTACAGCTCAGTGTCACAGCTCAGATACATAGCTGAGTGTTACAATTCAGTATTGCAGCCAAGTGCCGTAGCTGGGAGGCACAGCTGAGCTTTGCATCTCAGTGTGGCGGATCTAGAACACAGCTGTCATAATTTGAAGACTCAAGAATCTGATGGTCACTTGAAGAGGTGGAGAAAAAAACCTTTATTATGCTGGCAAGCTCCTGGCAGGCTCAGAGGAGTCTGAGCACTTTACTAGAAATGAGAGCCTCCTTATATAGAGATCTACAGGTTAGGAGAACATGCTCACTGAAGCGGGGGATGGGGTTACAGAACATTCCTGAAACACTTGCCATGTGAGCATGCTCACTGAAGCAGGGATAACAGAACATTCTTGTGAGGGGCAGAGCTTAAAAGAACATTCCTAAAAAGGTCATACAATTCAAACAGTCACAAACCATTTTAATACAAACTTACATTTCCAACAGCAATACAAACTTACATTTCCAAAACAAAACATTCTGGGGGAAAAAAATGGAGACAAGGCAAGGGCCTGTCTTTTTTTGGGTGGGGGCTGTCTTATTGTATAGCACTTCTCTATCGAGAGGACCCCTTTGATTGTGTTCACCTTGTGTAGAAGGTACAATGCTGAGGTGTTATGGCAGCATGTCATGTCCTTGCTGTTGGCTGCCACTCGTCCTGGGTCAGTCCTTCCAGTCACCTAGTAGAGTAGTGAGGGCCATGATCCTGCAGCGTCACCAAGCTGCTTCTGATAGGAGCTGTGCAGAAGTGCCTGTGGGGTAGGGTACACCACAAGCTAGGATGCACCGTGGACGTGTGACACTGATGAATAGTCTGCTTCCCTTGCAGGTCACACCACTTTAAGGTCAAGTGTGCTGATGCTTCAGTCAAGAAGTGCTTGCTCATGGATGCAGCTGATGAGGCGGTCCTGAACCTCATTGCCGAGTGCGAGTGGGACCTTAACAATCCTCCTAGGAGCATGAGCTCCAGCCAGGAGCGAGAAGTCACCTTCCATCACACCCAAGGTGTGCTGCTGAGCCCAGGGCAGAGAGCAGTGATCTGCATTCACTGGTTTCAGTGTGCATAGTTGTGCTGTTGATAAGACTCACTCCAGTGATAGGACCTTCATGAAGTCTGGGTGCACTTGGAATGCCAGCATTGCGGATTGAGGAATTACGAGAGGAAAAGTGAACATATTTAATTTGAGTGTAGTCATACTGCTCAGTTGTCCAGGTTACCAGAAAAGTAAAACATCTAAAGTAGAGAAGAAAGTCAAGTGACCAGTGGCTAGTGGAGCTGCTAAGAGGCTGCTATGGTTAGGGCCTCCAACCCCACCAGGAGTGTTGTGAACTCATTTGCAGTAGGAGCTTCATGTGTTTTGCTGGGGGCTCTGCTTTTTACTAGGATTGTTCATAGCTTTAGCTTCATTTTTTCCAGTACATTATGTTTTTCATGAAAACAGCAATATCAAATTGAGGCATCAGTATGGGCTCAGAACCCAGGTTTATCTGCAGCCCAAGGACACCTGCCATGTGGGAAGCAGCACCTAAGCCCCATCCTCCCAACATGACTTGTCCTCAGGAATCCTAGTTCTGACTCATGACAGTTTTTATTTGCATTTTTCTGCAGACTAGTGCTGTAAAATAGTCACTTATGTATCTTCAGGACACTTCCATTCAAATCTACCCACTCTGTTTCATGGGCTGCTTCTCCTCCTGGTCTTGAGTTGCAATGACTTTTTATGGTTGCTGGATACAAGTCCTTTGCTTGCTTTTCTTTTTTTTTTTTTTTTGAATTTAATTTTTCTTTACAGGATACTGCAAAATATGAAATTCCACATAGAAATATGAAACCCCTTCAGAGGATAAGCTTCATACAATATATAGTTTGGAACTATTTAAGTATAGTTTCATTGTGCAAAGTACTGCAATAACAAACCACATTTAAAAAGAGTTCTTAGTAGAGAAACAGAAGGAAAACTTATACTGAACATAGTACACAACAAAAATTTGATGCCTTCCTCAGCTGCATAATCTAGAAGTTAAAGGTAACCAGAAGTCCCATCCTGAACTTGGAAGGTATGACCTTCAGAGGTAGTTTTTGGCACACCATTTTGATCTTCCTCTACTGAGAAATATTTCTCTATCAAGTTTGATGAGGCCTTATACACAGACTCGTTTTCATGATTCTGTGGAACTTCAATTTTGACCAAGCCTCCACATTCTTCAATCATTATACTAAGCTTCTCAGTTTCACCTAGTTTCTCAGCAGCCTGGAAGACAATTGAAATGGCATCCAGAATAACCAGAATAATTTTCATGTCTTTCACGGTTAAGAGATTCATCACTGGTTCTATTATACCACATTGAACAAGATATACAATCTCTTCAACTGTTCCACCACTTGTATAGTTGGTCAAAGCCCGCACAGCTTACTTTTGTGTCTTAAAGTCTGCCTTGGAGGGGACACTGATGAGGAATGGGACTAATCCATGATTCGCAACTTGCTGTATCTGGTCCTGACAACCAGCTGTGATGTTTGACATTGTCCATGTAGGAAAGACAGCAAGTGCCCCTGCTCCTCATCACAATCTGAGTTTGTTCATCTGTTCCGGTGACAATATTCCCTATGTCTCCTAGCATGGGAGTCATAATTGGCAATTTATTTGATCCTAGATGCTTCACCAGATGGGGCACAATGCCTGTTTTTACAACGATTTCAGCGTGTTCATTTGGACCATTGGTAAGGAAAGAAATAGCCCAGCAAGTATCTGGTAATACTTCCAGGTCATTGTGATGCAGGAGACGAACCAAAGTAGGAAGAATTTGCTCAACAGCATCTGTAAGGGGGTGCAGGATTCTTGTGGTAGAGGTTTGAAAGTGTCCAGATAAGATTGCATAAATAACCACCTACCACCTGCTAAAGATGATATATCAGGAGCTGTAAGAAGAGCCAGGGGTGGGTCAATTGCACCATATTTAATAACCAAGTCTTGGACAACTGAACCATCACCTGCAGTGTTTCCTGTAGCCCAGACAGCTTGTTCACTGATGTGAGCGTGGGGAGATGCCGAGAGAGAAATGAGTACTAGTATAGCACCTCCTTCCACCACAGCCCTGGTCTGTTCTGATGACCCAGAAGCAATGTTAGTGAGTGCCCAAGCAGACTGAAACTGAATGGGACTACAATCAGTTCTGCCCAAGAAGGACACAAATTTTAGAATCAAACCAGCCTGGATTATGTAGTCAGTGGTGGGCTGTTTCTCCTGAGAAAGCAGTTTCCTGGCAGCTTGAGTAGCTTGGAGCTAGCTTTCTGGATTATTGCTGTTTATGCCTTTAACAGTGTCATCAACAGTCCAACTCACAGTGCCCTGGTTGTTGCAGCTTTCCTGCAGTGGTGAAGTAGCATCATCAGGAAATGAGCTGGCATCTCCTTTTCAGCATCTGATCATCCTTCTTAGCTTTCCTTAGCTCCACATTAACTTCTATTCTTCACTGCCTCATTTCTGTTTTCCCTTGTTCTTGAATCTGTTCATCCAGGCAGCTGGTGAATTAACATTCTCATTGGTGGACGTGGTTATGAGACAGAAAGTTCTTCAAGTTTTTGGCACTGAGTATAGTTTTAGTCAAAGGATAATCCTTTTACTTCCCACCCCCACAAAGGAGCAGATCAGCTGCGGACAAAGTACTCTCTACAAGTCCACTATGGCTGAACCCAGAAATGGTGTCAAGTCCTTTCTCAGATACTGTACATGCACGGAGGATTTGCTCTCTTTCTGTGGTATTGCCCCCATCCTGTGGCATCCCTGTCTGGTGGCACTGTCTCTCTCTCTCTCTGGTGCTGGGGATCAAACTCTGGACCTTGTGCTTGTGGTATTGTCTCTGCCCCATGTCATCACCATCCCATCGCATTATTCCGACCCCATTGGGTTGTCCCTGATGTGTGACTTTAACCCCATTGTGTGGCATCCCAATTCCATGGCATTGTCCCTGCCTTGCAGCATTTTCTCCATCCCATGCCATTATTCCCATCCTCCGGCTCACCTTTTCATTTTCCTAACAGTACTTTGAGGAGCATGTTTTCAGTGAAGTCCAGTTTGACATTTCTTTTTCTTTAGTGGTTTGTGCTTTGTGTCCTGTAAGGAAATCTTGGTCCATCCATGCTTGAGGAGATGTCCTGTGTTTCCTCATAGATATCCTACAGTTTCGAGTGTGTGGGAATACAGTTCGCTTCTTAGAGCTAGTTTTGTTGTTGTTGTTTTGTTTTACTTTTGTGTTTTTTGAGACAAGGTCTCACTTTGTAGCTCAGACTGGCCTTGAACTCACTATGCAGCCCAGGCTGGCCTCAAACTCATAGCAATCCTCTTGTCGTATCCTCCCAAGTGCTGGGATTAGAGGCATGTGCCATGGCACCCAACTGGAGCTAGTTTTTATGTATGGTGCTAGTTAAAGGTCCAGGACTCCCCTGCTCCCCTTCTAGCAGATCTGTTTGTTCTGCTACCATTCATCCAAAGGACTGTTTCTCATTTAATTACCTTGGCATACTGTTCAAAATCTGTTCATTCTGTATTCTCTTTTATGGATTGTATCTCTTGCTCCTCCACCTGTCCTGTCACTCTCTAGTGAGTGTTGGGGGTCATATCAGACTCAGCCCACCTGCAGAACTGCCTGGAATTCACTGCAGTGTTAGCTGCTACACGATTAGCCCTCTCAGGCATCTTAATCAGTTTATAAAAATATATTTGTAGATGTTATACATTCATAAACATAAAAATGTAATTTTTTTTTTTTTTTTTTGTGGTACTGGGAATCGAACTTGGGTCCTTGCACTTGCGAGGCAAGCTCTGGAAACACTGAGCTAAATCCCCAGCCCAAAAAATGTAATTTTAATAAAACCTTAAAAATATTTTTAACAAAATAGAGTCCAGACATCTGCTGAACCCTCCATCCTTCCAGCACCAGTGTGGGGACCTTGTGAGGAGGGGTCATGATAAGAAGAGAGCTGGTTCCAGCACGTGCTTCCTTGAGCAGCTGCCTCCACACCAGCCCTGTGGGGATCTACCCCTACAGCATGGGGAGCCTGAAGCCTGCTGTGCCCATGGCCCACACATCTGTACCAGCACCCACCCAGGTAATGGCATGCAGGGTCTTTCTGAGCAGACATTCTCTACAGGGTTGGCTCCTGCTGTTACATTTTTCCTGTTGTCTCTCTATTTACTTATATGTAGATTTCCCTAAAGTAGCTCTCTCATCTCTATTACAGACTCCACAGATATTGAGGACTCTTCCTCTTCGAAGCCAAATTTGTCATCACAAAAGGTGTTAAATCCTTTGCTGATTGCTGAAAGATACAGGAAACACAGGATGCTTGGTGGGAGGTTCCAGACACTGTCAGACCAGGAGTGCCAGAGCTATCTGGAGAGGGCTGGTGGGCCCTTCAGCCTCGGGGAGAGTCTGACCATGCAGGACAGCTCAGGGGGCCGAAGCCAGAGAGCCTTTTCTCTCTTTGAGGCGTCAGAGGCTGAAGAGCACACATCTCACAGCATGACATCTCACAGCATGAGCAACTCCAGAGTGGTGAGCTTGGGGTCTTGGTGTTGGCCGCCAGTGCCTAGCCTTGTTTCCTTGACTGGGCAGTAGACTGGAGTGGTCATTAGGTCTTTGTGATGCCATCTTGTGCTTTTTGGTACTGACCTGACCCTATAATGAAGCAGCTGCTTAGTTTAGCTTAGTTTTCCTTAGCATTTGCTCCTGAGCTCCACCCTATCCTTGCAGTATTCCATGCTTGGGCTGGAGGCATAGCCACACATTGCAGGTGTTTTTATCTCACCTGTTTACATTGGCCTTCAAAGTTGGAATGAGCCATCGTGGCCTTCTGGAGCCACCAGTCACTGTCATGTGGAGGAGGCCTGGAAGTGTATCAGGTGGATTTCCAGGGGCCTCATCCTAGTTAGGTATTGTGAGGTTTTTCACCCTCATAGGAAGCTAGAAGTCCTGTGGACAACATTGCCATACTGTTGGAGGCTTTGAGACACGAGCATGGGCTCCAAGTGAGCACAGGAAGCCATGGACCCAGAGCCACTGCCTGAGGAGTTGGCTATCATCCTTGTGTCTGGCAGAGCCCCGGTGGCAGACTAAGAAGTGGGGATGCTTCCTAGTGGAGATGGGGTCCCCAGATCTGGGAGCTGGAGATGGTTGTGGCAGGACTCCTGGATGGTCAGGGGCCTGTCTCACTTTCCCTGGTTGGCCTTGAGCTGGCTGGGGAGGTGAGAACAAGGGAGGCATAGCATTGACCACACCCTGGTTGTTCTGAGCCCACTGTTGGGGGTTGCTCTTGGGTATCCTTAACATTGGCCAGGATGGTAGTCTGACAGCTATCAGCTTCACAGGTGACTGTGAGGCACCCCTCCTGGGGCCAGATCCCCTCCATGGCAGGAGGTGTGCATTTGGGTCTGCAGGCATGCTGGTGTTCAGAGATCTCATCTTTGCAGTGACCAGTCATCTCATGGACTGAAAGCTGGTTTCCTGTCTTTGTCTCTCATCATAGCCACCTTCCACATCACACTTGGCAGCTCCAACGGGGAAGAGGGCTCCCCTGGAGGTGGTGCTCCTGGAGGCACTCCTTGACTTGGTGGACAAGCACTGGAGCGGCTGCAGGTCCCTGCACAGGAATGAGATGTTCCTTGGTGAGTCCTGAGCTAACATGGTTCTACCCTCCCAGCGGCATCTCTTGGCAGAGGCTTTTAATCTGCCAGGAGTTTAGAAAAAGGTGAGTTGTCTCAGCATTTGGACATTAACATGCCCCTGTGAGGAAGACATGGTCTCTGCTCCAGCAGGGTGTCCAGGCTCTTGGTGGACCCAGGCATGCCCATGGCTGTGGGCTCCCATGTGCCAGTGCCAAAGGCATCCGTAGTGCAGGGCTTTGGAGGGCTGCAAGCTGGCTCTGGTCTTCTCCAAGTCCACTGTGCATGTGTGGGTGTTGTCCAGGTACCATGGGAATCCTGTGGGCCCAGCAGGGCTTTACCTTCCTAAATTGGGCTTGAGTCCCTGCTTCCACAGACTAGGGGCTCTATCATCAGATTTGCACTTAAAACCCTGCAGCTGCCTTCTCTTCTTCTGCAGGCTGGGCTGTGTGTTAGTGTCCCCTAGGAGCTCACTCACCACTGGCACACCCTGGACAATGCTCTGAGTCCCCTGTCTACTTCACTCAGTGTTGTGGCCTCAACTCCTCCTGAATCAGGACACCCTAAGGTGTCCTACAAGGGGCTACAGTGCCCTGACCCAGACTTCCCATCTCTAATCCTCGTGTTGGGGCGAGAGTCTTTCTTATAACAGTGGGATTAGTCTGTCACCGAGGCAGCTGCTCATCATGGAGCTTCCAGCACCCCCCACATCATTCTAGACCTGGCTACCCGGAGATGTAGGCTTCACATGGGGGTCTTCTTTTTTCTGTTCTTCTCCACCCGCTGCCCCACAATGGCATAAAGGGAAGCCTGAACAAGGTAACTTTGAGTCTCTGATAGTCTTTGTCCCTGTGTACCCCAGTGTTTTCCAGGCACATACCCACATGTTAGACGTGTCTTGTTTATAGTCCATCCTTTATTGGTAAGTAAATAATAGAATTCATTTTCCTCCTAGCCCAGGCAAGGCACGTTCTGTCATCTGTCCAAGAGTTGGCAGCAGCACAGGGCAGTGCAGCACCTGGAGATGTAGAAGTCAGCTACCTGGCCCTTGAAAATCAGTCTCTGCACACGCAGCTTTCTGAGCAGCAGCAACAGTACACTGCGACCATGAGCAAGGTGACAGCAGAACTCAGCAGCACCCAGCAGGAGATGGTGAGTGAGCCTGACTCTTGTTTCCACCTGTTCCTGGGACTATTCTGGGATAGAGTGCAGGTAGACTTGTGACTTCGCAAACCCACACTGCCCCTGGCTATTCTCGGGCTGCTGCCTGTGCTCCCTCAAGCCCCTCCAGGGCCATGAAGCCCTCCCTACCCAGGACTCTGCCACTCAGGAGTGCTGCCTGACTGCTGCATGCCCAGACCATGGATGCAGTGTATTGGGGATTACAGTGTCACTGGTCGTCCCGGCTTTGCCCACTGGTTGCTCTCTCTTTGCACAGGGTCTGCTTGGGAGACATGGAGGCTGAGGTTTGAAGCCATGCTCAAGGCAGCGTATTTGTCCCTAGTCCTGTTAAGTGAGCTTGCACTTAGCTGGGTGATCCTAGTGCTGGCCAGCAGCAGGTTGCCCTCTGTGATCTGATCAACCATCTGCCACCAGGTGGTGTCCAAGGTCAACCAGAGCTGGATGGGACCCTTGGCAGGTCCTGTGGTGTTTGAAAGTACTGGGGGTGTTCTCTTTTGTCAACATCCATACCTGCGGGCTGTGTCTCAAAGAGGGGGTTGTGCTGCAGGTAAAATACTGACCCACCGGGCCAGTTCTTGATGGCTGTGCAGCACTGCACTCCAAGGTGCACGTCTGGGACCAGCACACAATCAACTGGAGGGCTGCTGAAAGTTGCTGCAGGGCCCTTGCACAAAGGCTACTGTCTCACCTTCCAGTGGAGGAGGCCTCAGGGCTTCAGTGTGGAGTCACCCTTGTGAGTGAGCAGTGGTCCACACTGCAGTCTCAGTCTTTGTGACCTAATTCTCGTCTCCTCTCCCGTGGAGGAGGACCCATAGGGGTTTTCACCACTGCAGCAGCTGTCCATCCTGCTCCTGGTTCAGTGACCTCACTTTAAAACAGGCTAAAAACACCAAAGGATTTCTTGGACAGGGATCTGAAACTGATGGGCAAATAATTACTAATTTATGTGGTTCTGGAGATTGAACCCAGGCCCTTCATGCTAAGCTGTATCTCCAGTCTGTTTTAAAAACTTTTTTCAGAGAGTCTTACTAAGTTACTGAGTTTCCCTGGCTAGGTTTGAACTTGGCAGTCCTCCTGCCTCAGCCTCCCAGAGTGCTGTTAATTCCAAAGTGCTAGAATTACTGGCCTGTGCCACCACACCTAGCTAAATCCTTTCTGAGAATTTCTGCGAGAGATCTCGTGTGAAGCTTCATTTTTAGAAAAAAATAGAAAAACAGTGCAGTGCTATAGAGAGCCTCTGGCCCTTGCACACACCATGAGCCTTCTGCATGCATATAGGCCTTTTCATCTGGAAAGGGACAGAGTCCAGTATGCCTAGACCACAGCCTGGTGCAGGATGTGTGTAACAGTGTCAGTCTGGGTATATGGCTCTGCCTGCAGTAAGAAGACAGCGCACAATGCCTGTCAGGTTGGTGCGAACTGGGAATCTTGTCAGAAAGGGGACCAGTATATTCAGACCCACAGAGCCCAGGTCAGCTTGGTGTTGCTGTCATGTAGAGTTCATGAACAGAGGTGTGGTCTCTGTGGTGCCTGGTCCCTCGCCTTCTTATGCAGTTGGACCAGCACTGTCTCAGAGAGCAGTCTCAGCTCCAGGACAAGTGCAGGCCAGAGTTCCTTGTCTGAGCAGGTGACCAAGCTCTGCTCCTATGTCTTCTCCAAGTCTACCCCTTTATGGCCCGGCTACAGGAAGGAGCCCGTGTGGTGCCACTGCCTAGGGACAACTGGAGTGTTGAGAGGAGTGACATGTGGACCCATCACCACACGAGTGCTCCCTGTGGAGTCCTGGCTCTGTGGTGTGTGTGCCTGCAGAGGGTTAGGCAATAGTAAAGGTGGAGGCTCTGCTACTGACCTTTTGTGCCTAGTGTAGCCTCCAAGTTAGTGGCACTGCCCAACCTGAGAACATTCTGTCCCCTGCCACCTGTGCCCACCATGCTGGACTGTAGCCAAGAGCTGGGAGCCAGACAGAGCCGGCCACTGACAGCTTTCTGTGTGGCCTCAGAGTGCTCAGGGAAGGAAGAGCATGTGCATTGGCCTCATTGCAGGAGGCCCTGAAGGATGCAGGCTGACAAGGATGCTCTTTGGTCCAAGGACCTGGCAGGCACAGGTGCACTGAAGGTGGGCTTGCTGTATGGAGAATAAACAGAATAGAGCCCCCTGAGAACGAGGGCTTGAGAGTTGGTGAGTTGCGGGTTCTCACTCCTCTTTGGAAGCAAGGTGGGGCTTACATGGAACCCCAGGCCAGCTGCTAGTTGTACCTGCAGGTACCTAGGACTGGCAGGCGAGACTGCAAATCTGTGGGAGCCCTGGTCCACCTGGCATAGCCACCTGTCACCAAGGACCCTAGGCACAGGAGGGACTCTCGTCCTGGGCAAAGGCTGAGGGCTTTTGAAGGAGGAGGACCCACAGGTCACTGCGTGCTGCTCCTCCTGCCCAAGACCTGGGAAGGTAGCCTTGTATGTCTCATGGATCTGGAACACCTGTTCCCCTCCCTCCTAGAAGGAAGTTGCATTGCTCAGGCAAGGGGGGTGCTTTTCTCATTGTCATTTAGAATTATATAAAAAAGAAAGTGCTGGTCATCAAAAAAAGTTGTAATTCTTTTAATATATGTACTTTACTGAATTTGACTTACCTATTTAGTTCTGCTTTCTGTTCCCTTAGGATACCTTGAGACAGTGTTTAGATAGATCTTTGGAGGAGAATAATAGTTTAAAATCTCTGGTGTTTAACATGAAAAAAGAAGTAAAAAATGGAGAAATGTCAGCCGCGTTAAATGTGCAGATCTCTGGTGAGTTTCTCATTTATTTGGTAAGATTGCTTGTTGAGAGTTGACTGTTTAGATGTGTATGCAGAGACCTGATCTAAATCACTCTTGCCAGGAGGGGGAGGCAGCAAGTTCTGTCCAGGCAGGATAGGTGCCCCTGCCTCGCTGGTCCTTATGTTGGTGGCCATGTTGGCAGAGCACACAGGTACAGCCTCCCGAGCTCCAGTAGGGCAGGTATGTGGAGGGCACTGCTTACAGTTTCCTTTGGCTCCTAGAACCTTGTGTGTGTCTTTCACTGCTGTGGTGCTGAGGAACTGGGGGGCATCCTGACTCTGCCGCAGGGGAGCCATGCTCTGGCTGCATTACTGACCCTGAGGGGCGCTCTGAGGTCTGTTCTCTGGTCACTCTTTCCTCCAGGTCCAGATAATTTGCCTTTCTGTTCTTCATTTACTTTAGTTCTCTTTTGCCATTTTAAGAGGTGTGCATTTGGTATTTGGGGTTCAGACTGAAGTGAATCATTGGTGATGGTGTCTTATGTTTCCATGTCATTGTCTCTGGGTCGGTTTGTACTTCATGGGCATACACAGTATGCGTCCTCTCCTAATGTCTCTCATGGGGCAGGAAGGAAGTGCCCCTTGCTGTGGCCTTTGCAGCAGGAAGGACCATAGATGGGGCATGCAACCAGGTCTGTCATGGGCAGGGTACCCGCTTGGATCTCTTGCCCACTTACTTTTATTGGGGTGTTTTATTGAATGGTAGGAGTTCTTTATACTCATTTTCCTTTTGTAAATGTAAATTTTTTTCCCTTTTTATTTTCTGTTTCTGGAAGACATTACTTACATTTACTTGTGCTTGGGTTCCTTCTGGCTTAGCCTTCATTTCTAGTGTGATTCTTTTCCTTTATTGCTAATTCTGTCCTGAGTTTTCTGATTCTGATTCAGACTGTTCTTTAATTCTTGTTTGTCCTTTCTTCTTTTGATATGATGAGTTCCCATGTAGCCTGGCTGTCAGTGTCTTATGCTCTTATAGTGCCTGTGAGACTTGATGGCAGTACTTTCCTATTGTTCATTTTATATGACATTTGTTCTAGATTTCTAGAAGATGGGGTTAAGGTAACTTTTCTGAATTTATAGGTCCAAAATGTAGTCTCCTCCTTTTGGGGATTTTTCAGGCCCTCTTTCCTCCCCAGCCCTCTCTTTGATGTCCTTGTACTGTCTGACTTCTCTGCACCAGTCTTTCTTGCAGTGTGAGCCTTGTTCTAGAAGGAGCTGGCCAGTCATCCCCTTCAGTCTGCATGAGAACCTCTAGTCTCACCTCACTGGAGGGTTGGAGCCTCTTCTATATCTACCAAGATTCCCTTGCTGACCCAGGAAAACATAATACTTGGGGGCTCTTCACCCTCAGATCTGTTGGTGCCCACTGCCAACTTCTGCTCCTCACAGATGCAGACACTGTTCATGACCTGGGGCTGGTGTGCCTGTGCTAAGGCTCATGTGTGTGGGGTCATGAGGCTGCCTTGTTCCTGGTTCGTGGGGTTCTGGTTTCTGATCTACTCACTCTTGGTGTTTGACAAACATGAGGATTCTGAGAGATGCTGCCGCTGTCCTCTCCCAGAATCTCTCTTGTTCGTGCCCTTGAGAAATTTGAGTAGACAGATCCCAAGGCACGTTACCTTGCCTGAGCACACTGTGTGCCCTGCTGCTGTTGGGTTTGTTAGTCATCCTTTGCCTTGACTTGCCCTCTCTGGCTAGCTCATCTCTGATGATGTATGTTATACAGTCATCTGTAGATACAGCATCTAAAGGTGGACTTGATTTTATCCTGTGTTTGGATTTTAGGGAGCCAGTAAATATGTCTCTTTCCTTCTTGAGTTGGAAACCCAGAAAGGCAAGAACTGTGTAGAAGGGAACTAAACGCGTGCTCTGCCCATTGATGAGTACCAAATCGGAGGATGCTCAGGAGAGTCCTGTGGCCACCGCGGGCTTCTGAATGCTTCTCCCAAGCCACAGACAGATCCCCTCAGGCACAGTTTGCTTCCTGGTGAGAGGGACACTCTCCTGCAGCAGATCCAGTACAGGAGGTGTATGCTCATCACTTTGCTTTCCACATGGGGCTGGGGCTCTTCAGCCCCTCAGAGGAAGCTAGTGATGGTACCTCAGCACCCGATGGGACCTCAGCACCTGTGTTCACCCCATCTTTGAATCCCTTATGAAGGTGGACCTTGCCAGGTGTGGTGGCTCACGCCTGTAATTCCAGCCCTTGGGAGGCTGAGGCAGGAGGATTGCTGTGAGTTTGAGACCAGCCTGGGCTACATAGTGAGTTCCAGGTCAGTCTCAACTACATAGTGTCTCTAAATAAATAAATGTGGACCTTTTCCAAGCTGTATTCTTTTTCTTGTGATCTGGATCCAGTGTAAACTGGCATTGCTAAAAATACAGAAATAAGCATCACTAAACAGTGCCACTTCTTTTCCTCCATTAGGACTTCAGACGAGTGTCCAGCAACTGTGTGGTGAGGTTGTGGAGCTAAAGCAGCACCTCGAGCACTATGACAAGATTCAGGAGCTCACTCAGATGTTGCAGGAGAGCCACAGGTGCCCACCGGGCCAGCCTGGGAGCCAAAGAAGGAATGGAGGCATGGGAGGGTGAAGGTGGCCTAGGTCACCCTAGACAGGCAGAGGTGCAGTTGGCATTTGTCTCCTCAGTGGTTAGTGTCCAAGACCCACACGTGTCACCATGTGGACTTGGAACTTCCATGAATGCGCCCCTTCTGGCCCGGCCAAAAGTGAGGCCCTTCATGCTACCGCATTCTATGAAGTGTGACCAGGAGGCATGGCCAGAGGAGGCGAGGCAAGAGGCACATGAGTGACTGTGACATGAAGTACAGTGTCCAGTTTCCCTGGGCCATGGTCCTGTGCAGTTTGTGGCTGTCCACTTAGAAACCCAGAGATCCCATCTTTACTCCCTGGCTGTGTTTGGGGGCCTTGGGACAGTCCAGGCAGAGCCTCGGCTTTGTCTCAGAAAAGTATGTGCTGGGAAGCAGGTGGAGGCCGGGTATGGTGAGGACGTCGGCCTCAGGCAGAGGCAACTTGCTGAGCAGGGAGGGGTCACACTGTCCCTTGCGGATGTAGCATGTGAGCCTGGGTGCCCTGGGCTCAGCAGTGTTCTCACCTCCACCTGTCCCTCCACTCTTCCCTGCATTCCCTTCTCTCCTTTTTTCTTTGCTGAGGCAACCGTCCATCTTTGTGTTCAGGGGTAGTGTGGTCACAACCCATGCTGACTCTTTAGCGATTAATACAGGCCATAACCCCTGTGTCCCTGCCATAGCTTAAGTTATTGTGGGGAGGGAGGGAGAGGAGATTGAGCTGAGACTGGGTGGCAAGGAGCAGAAGATCCAGCCATCTCAGGGGCGGGGCAATGACAGGCTAATTCCTCCCTGGAGCCCACTGGGCAACTCTGACAGATCAGGGTAGCCTTAGCAGCCATGCTGTGGCCCACATGTGGGCAGGGCAGGATGCAGAGATCCTGAATGCAATGGGATCTGGCCTTGACCTCTGGGGTGAATTCATGCTGACTATTCAGCAATCATTTCTGTGATCCAAGCAAGCAGGCTCAGTGCCTACTCAGTGCATTGGTCTGTGGCATGGCCGTCTTTGTGGTGAAAATGACAGTCAGTGTAGCCTGCATTGTCTGAACAAGTGCTGTCCTAAATGTCCTTTGTCACTGCTGACTTGGTGAGCAATATAAAGAGGGGACTTTTCTGTGACACTGTTAGGCATCCACGTTGCTACCTGTGATTGGGAATTAGAAACACTACTGTCCGGATTCCTTCTAGAATTCGTGTTGTTTTGCTGGCCACAAAAATCATCCTCTTCTCCGAGAGCCTTGCAGGACCGGATGTGGAGGGGCCATGCATCCACCCATTGCTCCTTCAGCTCATTCATCTGCTCTCTCTCGGGCAGAGGCTCAGTCAGGCCCACCTGTGCCGCTGTCTGGAAAGGCAGAGCAGACGGGCAGCTAGAGGCGGTGAGGCCGTGGGCAATGGACCTGGGTATCCCTGGGCGATGAGAAATCCTCTGTGTCGTGGGCAGTGTGGAGGGGCGGTGCTGCTGAGGTGTGGGGAGCAGCCTAGTGAGCATTTCCCTGTCCTTTCCAGCTCCCTGGTCAGCACCAACGAGCACCTCCTGCAGGAGCTGAGCCGGGAAAGGGAGCAGCACAGGGCAGAGGTGGAGCAGATGCGCTGGAGCTTCCAGGAGCTCAAGAAGATGGCAGCCCTGTTCCCACCCCGCTGCTGCAGCCTGGGGGGCCACCAGTCCTGTTGATCCTGCCCGAAGCCATGAGCCTCCTCTGCCTTTGGCATAGCCCTGTGTGCGTTCCTTTGTGCTTCTGTTTGCTGGTGAGACTTGTTCTTTTGTGTTTGTAATTACGTTTTCCTCATTGAGACACATTCAGGGACAGTAGCTCAGCTCTCTGAAGCACCGTAAAATGACAGGGTGGACCCCAGGCCTTCACGTGTTTTGAGACAAACTGACAATTGCTTTGTCATCAGAATACCCTGAGATGGAGGCACCACAGCACTTTTCTTCCTAATGTCATACACTGTGCAGCTAATTAAAGTAATGATTTGTGTGGCAGTCCTTATTCAATGAATGATAAATTCTGAAAAGCTAATTTTTAAGTGGCTCTTTATAAATTTTAAGTTTCTCATTGACTTCTTTTATAAAACAAGCTATATACCATGGTAGATGTGCAAGAATAAGTAAGTTCCAAGATTTAATAAAAGTAGCACTTAGAAGATGTGAGAAGATCTAGGCGTAGTGGTACACTCGGGAGGCTGAGGCAGGAGGATTGCCATGAGTTCAAGGCCAGCCCGAACCTCATAGTGAAACCCTGTCTCAAAAAAACAACAAAAAAGAAGAGAAATATTTTAAAATACTGATTTCCTTTATTAACATTTGATAATAAAAATACCTGCCAAAACCCTGCCTATTCTTTATATGTATATCTGAAAATTATGTTACAATAGCACTGAAAACTAGGTTTTTAGTTTGGAAACTTGTTACATATGTGATCTTTGCTTTGACTGGTAAAACAGGATAACTTTTTAAAATAAGGTTTTATTTAGTGAGAATGACCAGTGACTTGCTCCTGCATTCGGGTCCTGGCACTGGGAGTGAGTATCTCTCCTTCAGCTTTTCCTGCTTGCTCCTCCCTGTCCTGATCATGTATAGACATGGTTGTGTCCGACAGCACCAGTTTCTCTAACTTAGCAGAAAAAATGTCACTGAATTTAGTGTTGGCACAGTGGGGTGGGGTTCTTTCATCAGACTATTTAAAAGTATTAAAAGATTGTAGTCTTAATACGTTATTATCTAGCAGACAGTGATCATTATGCCATTTCTTCATGTTTATCTCATTTGGGTTTTATTGAGCTTCTTGGACCCATGAGTTTGTATTTCCATCAGATTTGGGGGTTTGAGTCTCAGTTTCTTCAGATTTCTCTCTGGCCAACGTGTCCCTCTCCCTTCCTCAGATCTCCAGTGATTCTACACCAGGACCTTGCCCCTGGGTCTCTAAACCCGATTGCTTCCCCACTGTCTGCTGTCTCGGCGTGTCACTTTGGTGGAGTTTCACTTTGGTTTTGTGACACTTAGCTTTCCTCCCACATGCCTCACGTGATGTAAGCCTGTGTAGTGACTGTTTATTATCCGTAATTACATGTATTTGGTCCTGATAACTGCTTGGTTCTTCAGGGTTATTCTCTTGTGCTCCTGTTCCCTGTAACCCTTAGATGTACCCTTGGTGGCTTTACTGGGTTAGCCCAAACTGTTTACAGAGCAGCCCTGCTGGCCTGCCTGCGCGTTGCTTTGTGTTTCTGCACTTCGGGTCTGTGGCCTCTTCATCCTGGTGATACACAACCTTGTGGTTTTGACCTGCCTCTTCACAGTGAGTGCCTTTGCATGTGTTTATTGATCACCTGGATTTATTTATTTTTATTTATTTGTGTCTGACTTTTCAGTTTTTCTGTTGGGAGGTTTATCTTTTATTTATTTGCAGGAGTTATTTATAGGTTGAGCAGCCCTACTGAAAGTTCACTGTAAACCTCTGGTGTGCGTGAGGTCCTGGGTTCCAACCCTAGCACTGGAAAAAAAAATTACATTAGAGATACTCAACCCATAAATTTATATAAATATTCCAGAATCTGAAATCTGAAACACTTCTGTTCCCAAGCATTTTAGATAAGGAACAGTCAACCTGTAATTCTGAGCCATGTGCTTTCTAAATAGTGCTGCTCTTCATTTTTTGAGTCTTAAGAAGAATTGCAAACTTTAATATGGTTTGTATATCAGTATTTTTCTTTATGATTGAAGCATTTTGGTTCCTAATTAAAAACACACACACACAAAAGCAACCCTCCCTTTTCTTGGCCACTGTGATACTGTGAAATACATCTTTGTCCAGTTTTCTGAAATACTGCTCCTAAAACCCTTAGAATCTCTAGTGATTGGGTCTTTCGTGTGCTACTGAGAATACTGTTGGCCTAGGTATCAGAGAAAGACCAAAGAAGGATCCCAGGGTTTCAGCTGCACCATCACCCCAGTCTCAGGGGTGGGGATCAGACAGTTAAGTTGTTCATCAGTGGCCAGTGATAGTGACTCATGTCTGCATAATGAGGCCTCCACAAAAATTTAGCAGGACAGTGCTCAGGGGCTTCTGGAGAGCCGAACATGTGGAGGTTGCCAGAAGGAAGGTAGTGTCTGGAGTGCGTCTGGGAGCCCTGCACCCTCCCTGTTCAGCTTTTCATTTGCACCCTTTGTACATGCTTTATGATAAACTCTTAAGTATAAGCCTTTCCTGAGTATGTTCTGTTTAAGCAACTGAACCCAAAAAGAAAGGTTCATGGGAACCCCAAATTATAGTGACTTGTTGAGAAACAGGAAAAAACACCTAGGCTGTGCTGCTGGCATCTACAGATGGAGGTGTGTTCTCAACCCATCCTTTCTGACACTCCCTCCAGGGGTACAGTGTCAGGATTAGTGACTAGGGGATTCCCTGTGGAGTCTGCTGCAGAGCTGCTGGTGAGACGTCCCCATTATTTGAGCTCACAGAATCATCTATGTTGATTATTAGGAGCATGTAAGATATTGAACTTATTTTTCCTGTATCTTCAGAGTTATGAAGATATCCTGCTGTTAACTTCTAGGAGATTTTATATTTTTGTTTATTTTGGGTTTTTACATATATTCTACCTAGAATGGATTTTTGGGTATGCTGTGAAGATTAAGAATGTGACTACAATGCTTTCCTCAGATGAGTCCAATTATCCCAGCCCTGTTCACAGACAAGATCCCGTATCTCTCCCCAGCTCTGACCCCATCTCCTTTCCTGCCGATATTACACTCTGGGCACATCCTTCCATCCCACATTCGGGATACCAGGCTTTTCTTGACCCTTTGCATTTCACAAAGTTACTGAGCCCTGGTTTCCTGAGCAAGTAGATGTCAGTGAAATTCTAGGACAGTATCTGACACAGTAAGCACTGTGCCACCGCTTGCTTTAATAACAGCAATTACTGTAACCTTCATGAGAGCATTTTCCTGAGGGTGTCACCCTTAGTAGTCAGGTATCAGTGCCAGGTCGTATAAAGTGAGCTGGGTGGTACATGCCTCTTGCTCAGCAGGAGAATTTATTTGAAACAGCCTGATATATGGTGATGCTTGCTGGTGATGCTACCTGTGCCTGGAACTTTCTTTGTGGGAGATTTCTGACATTTGAGGCAGCATAATGAATTGTTTGGGATGGACAGAGCCTGTTCTGAGACTGGCTTCCTTGAGCCAGTCTGGGGCCATATGGCTGGTCATGAGCCACAGTCTGAGAGGGAAGAGGGGTGTCTATAGGGCCGGGCAGAAGAGAGCTGGGGCCACTGTGACAGCTGCCCCGCCTCAGGGACCATGGCAACCACACCTCAAGCTCAGAAAGCTGTCATTTCTTCTTTTGGAAAAGACCTTGTATATGAGAGTAAGTTTCGTGGTTCTGGCTGTTGCAGTTTTAGGGTTCTCATTGTGGTTGGCAATACTTGCCCTAACTCGCAGAGCTGTGCAGGCTATTTCTTGAAGTTTTATAAGTTAAGTATCTTTAGGAATTGGTTTATATAGTCTTAATTTTCAAATTTTTTGGCAAAACTCTTCATAGTATTTTAATAGCTTTAGCACTTAAAGTTGTATCCCTGGAGTACACTTGCTTTCCTTCAGGGAGTACAGGCAAAGGGACAGCAGCTGCTATACCATTGCTGTGTCCAGCTTGTCTGCTCTGCCCCCAGGAAGTGGCTTTCTATCCCCCCACACTCCTTGCTGGTATGGTTCTTGGGCATTTCCTGCCAGTAAACCTCTGCAAAACAAATCCCAGCATCTGCTCTCCTCCCCTTGTCATTCTGGATAGTGGCTGCTTGAACTTTCTACTTAGTGGTCAGTTCCCTTAAGTCTGTCAGGTTAATCAGTCCCACTAAGAAAAACCTTTGTCCCTATGTCGTCTCATTTTAATTTCTGCTCTACTTTTAGCTATGCTGAAAATTTGCCTGATAAAAAAATACGTATTATTTTGTTAATTTTCCTTTTCTTTGTGTCTTTCTTTGCTCTGTGGGCTAGGATAGCTGGTGTATCTTTATGTACATATGCCATCTACGCTGTTCTGCTCTGGAAGTCTTCTCCTGTGTCAGGATTGTTGGATTTAGGCTGCATCTCCTATCTTGAGCATTTTTCCGTGTTCACCTGGAACCTACGGCCCCTCTCTTCTCTCACTGCTGTGTGCTTGCTTTATCTCAGTTCTCTGCCAGCGCTGAGACTATGCAGGAGCTGTGAGCACTTGGCTCCCTGCACTCCTTTAGGCTTATATAGGATCGCTTCTAAGTATTTTAGTGAAACATTTAACTTCACAGAAAATATTTATGTAGTCACTGCTTACCTGTTCAGTCTCTGCTCTTCACATCTCAAAACAGTCCATTTGTGATCACCTTTCCTTCTAATATTTAGAACTTCTTTGTGTCTACTGGTGGTACCTTCTTTCTTTGCCTAAAACTGCCTTTGTTTTATTCTTTTGGAAAACAACTTCTCTGGGATGATAGACTGGCATTGTTTTTTGTTGTGTTGTTTTGGCAGCCTGCTGATGATGTACATCTGTGGGCTGCTGTGGTGTTTGTGGCACAGTTCATGCATGATCCTGTCCTTGAACCTGACCCCTCCCTTCCCAGAGCTTCACTGGACCCAGATCCAGTCTCAAACCCCACAGCTGGGTGTCTGTCAGCCCTCCTGTCAGTCAGCAGTACTCCTGCGTAAGCTAGGAAGCCCATGGCTCCCCAGGGTGCAGGTGACCCAAGGCTCTTGCTCTTTGAGGTCCAGGGCAGACCTCCCTCCTGCGGTCCCTTGTGGGGTCCTGTATTGTCTGTATGCTGTGCCTGTGGGTGTCAAGGGCCAACTGGTCTAAGGCTGTGACTGCTGGTGCAGACTGCATGTACTTGTACTTTGAAGAGAACAGAGAAATCCATGTTTTAACATCTTTATTCATCACTTTACCAATTTGACACACAATGTTAACAGCAAGCACACAAGGAGTGATATGTAAACAGACACGAGCTGTTTCACTAATGGTTTACAAGCCAGGCCATGGCAGCAAATCCAACAGGCGACACACTGCCTCTTGTGCTCTGCGGGAGGGACAGTGGGACCATCAGACCCCATAGATGTTCCTGGTTAAGTGTGGTTTAGACATCTGCAGAAGTGCCTTTCCGAGTCAGAACACCCAGTACATCAGCATTACCCAATACACCACTAAAGTGATGCGCTCAGTACTTCCTAACATTAATAAAATAGTGTAAAAATATATTGCATATATATATATATATACACACACATATAAATTTGTTTCCCTTTCTTGAAAAAAACTTAGTACAAACTAGTAGTATATCATCCCTTTCAAGTTTTAAGTTGTGCAAGTTTCCTTTGTTGTTTGGCTTGGTTTAGTTTTTTAAGAGGTCTAAAAGTGAGTGAGTTAACTTAAGCATCTCAAAATGCCTGTCATGACTTCCTGTCACATGCCTCTGAACAAGGCCACACCCCTGAACCACTGGAGTTCAGAGTGCTCAGTAGTAAGAGGAGGAAAGTAGTTGTGGTTCAGTGTTTGAAAGACAGTGTAGCCTAATAATAACTTCACAGTACAGCTAAATTGTCACCCTTGTATTGGACAGATGACAAGATGTTCCCGTGTGGTGTGTGCTGCAGGACCAGGGAGCAGCCAGCTCTTGTAGGATTCTGTGGGAGGAAGTAAGCCAGACAGGCAGGCACATTTTCCCCATAAAGGGGCAGATGTTAAATACTGTCAGTGTCTGAACCATGGCATCTGTCCCAGCTCCTCCCTGTTCCAGTCGCAGTCCAAAGCAGCCATGGACAGTCGTAAACACATGGCTGTGGCCACATGCCAATAAAACTTTATAAAAACAGGCAGCAGCTCTAGCAGCCCAGGACCACTGAGGGTGGGAGGAACGAGCTGCCCATGCCCACGCTGACCCATCAGCCACTGGGACTCAGGGTTAGGGGGCAGGAAACACAAGTGGAACCACAGTACACACGCTTTTCCAAACTCACCTGTATCTGTGTGACTCACCTGCCCCAAACAAGGCTAAGGATATTAAAAACATAAAAATACTCCAGTATAAATATAAATTTTAGCTATGATTTTCATAAAGCTAAGTTATCAACCACTTAACTAGTTGCTTATACTATAGCATTAATAAATATTCTACTAGGATCATGTTCTCCAGTGCTTTCCAACCTCCTTGATGTTTAGACACCATCTACATTGTTCCCTCAACCCCTCTACAATCTGTCCCTGTCTCCTGGGTGTTGATTCTACAATCTGTCCCTGCTCCGAAGTGTCACCTCCTAACGGAAGGTGTTCCTTTGTCAGGTTGCATGCCCTGCAGTTTCTCTTACATTTAACTCTTGAACCATGTTAGAAGCTGATTGGTATGACAAACATCTAACACACACCCTGCCTGTGTGTTGGTAATATTCATGGACTGAGGAAAATGCACGTGTCTGTGTGGTGGAGCTGGGAGTCCACACAGATTCCTGTTCAGCGGATACGCACAGATGCCATGGTGAATCCTACAATTGAAACTGACAGTATGGTGACCACTAAGTCTTCACAATTTAATTTTTACTACCACTCCCTTGCCAAGTGATGGAAATGGAGTATGTTTTCACAGCTACACTTTGAAACTGACTTGGTGGATGCTGGCCTCACCTAAGCCTGTCTCTGAGGAAAGCTTGGGACCTATTGGGGACAGGGAAGGGACACAGGGAGACTGCCTGACACATGCACGTGATGCTACCCGAGTGTCATGTGGTGGGAGAGCCTGGGCTGGGGGCTCTCCTTCCAGGAGCCCAAGGGCACTCAGGCTCTGGGCTGAGATGGGAGGGCCGCTAAGGCAGAGCAACTTGATTTTCATCATAAAACTGAGAGGCCTGTCACAGTCATCAGGAATACATTCTTGAAATTCTCTAGAAGTGAAGACTCCTTCCTTGTCCAGGAGCTCACCTGAGATGGGACCAGGACCCAGGACCTGTGGACCAGCCACTCAGCTTTATGAGTACATTATGAGGTGCTGACCACAGGGACCAGGTGACCAGTCTGATAGGACCTCCTCCCCATGAGAGGAAGGGCACTTGTGTTCTTTTGCTTAGATCCGACTTTCCACTGTCCTCCCAGGCAGCACAGTAGATGTGGTCTAGGTCCTCATTTGGAGATCACTCCTTGCCCAATGACCCCACTGAGCAGGAGACAGGCTGGTGCCCCAGCACCTTGCTTCCACGGGTGCAACTGTATCTGCTGCAAGGCATGGGGCTCCCAACACTGTCCTGACCCAGGCATGTGTGACTTGCTGTGTTGGAGGGATCTGGTGGGGGTGGACAGGCAGAAGAAAAGGAGAACAGGAGCCTCCGGCTGAGAGATGCTGGCCACAGTAGGACTTGTGGGGACCATGGTGCCAGAGGGCAGGTGTCATCAGGGTGTGGGGTAGAGAGGATTGGGACCCTGTTAGCGACCCCTAGTGAAGGTCACTGGCACTTGAACCCAAAGGGTTTTGATGAGATTAAACACCGCACCTTCAGGGTTTCAAATGTTGCCCATGCATCACGTTTGCCTCTAGCTTTCACACAGAAGTCTAGCCTGGATCACTGAGGAGCACAGCCCGGGGCCTTCGCCCCACCTATCTCCCCAACCCAGTAAGCTGACATCGGCCTGAGAGCCATGACTCGGAGGCACCATGAACTCCCAGCCTCCAAGGGAAGCTGCCTGCCCGCAGGGCCATTCCCTTTCCAGATAGTCCCTTTCTGGAGGGGCCTGTGCCCTCAGGAAGGTGCTTCACTCAGTGGGCTAGTGGGCAGCCTTCCATGGAGCTGCACTTGTGACCAAGCATACTTGGGCTAGCAGGCATGTTGCATGCTGTGGCAGTAAGGAAGGGCCTGCTCCTGCCTGTGCTGTGGGGCAGCCCCATGTCCAGAAAGATGGTGGCTACCTTTAGCAGCTATCTGCCTAGGTGGAGTGAGACCAGCTGAGAGCAGACCAACTTCTATGAGTCATTTCTGAGGCCACGTGGGCCTTCTCCAGAGCAACAGCCATACAGGTCAAGAGCAGGACCATGGCAGCTGTAACCGTGGGTGGCCCATACCATGGCCTCCTTGGGATAGAGGACCACTTGGCCATCATGGAGGTGCAGTGCTGAAGGCAGGCTGCTCAAGTTGCCCCTGCAGGGTAGATGAGCAGAGGCCCACTGTGCATGGAAGGTTTGTGGGCATAGGTGTCCTCACTGGGCTAATTCTACTGCCTGGCTTGTTGCCCTGTAGGTGGCATGAAACAGGTGAGGGACACGGACTTCCAGAGGGCACAGGCAGTGGCTGAGGAAGGCCAAGTTCAGTAGGCAACAGCACAGGCTGTGGCAGGTACAGCTCCGCACACCCTGCAAGAGTGATTCAGCATTGTGTGTCTCCCCACGAGGGGACATGGGGACAGGTAGGGAGGGCACATTTTGAATCTCCCTAATCTGAGAATAGGCATGTGGTCACCATTTCTTGTCAGTTACAAAAGCAAACAGAAAACCGTCCTGGTCCGCCAAGGAGCTTTCCCTTGTCCCTCGGCATGGACCTGGACCCTGGGCACACGTATGTGTGTACCTGCATGATCTGCTGCCCATGTCTGCCAGGAGACCTGGCTGAGCCCACTGCTCAGAAAGCACAAAGGGCCCTGTGGCGCCGATCAATGAAAGCTGTCCCAAGCTCAGACACACCCACATCCTGAGAGCTCAGTCTAATCAGTGCTGTGGGTTCATCAGCTCCTGCTGCCCTGGGTCCCTGGACAGTTTCTGCTGCTAGGCTCAGTGTGGCCTCTGATGGGATCTGCCTACTTGTCCCACACTAGCTCCCACAATCCCTTTCACCTGCAAGCCCGGTGGCCAGTGAGGCAAGATCCTGGGAAACAGTTTGAAAACTGCAGGTGCGCAAGGAAGGGTGAGGTCTGAGAGAAGTGCAGGGTGCCCTCACAGGAGGCCTGGGGATGGCCCCAGTCGCCTGGCCACAGCTCCCTCTGAGTTCTGCCTGGTGAGCACAGGAATGTAATGAAGTGTGATACGTGTGAGTTTCCGGCTGGCACCTGCAGTGTCCACTGCACCAGTGCAGGGCTACTTGGTCCCCTGCACCTTCTGGTCGTAGGTGCCTGCGTGCTTGTAGCCGGGCACATAGCCCGACTCATCCACCAGGTCCACGCGGCCGGCCTTGCCTTTGCCCTTGCCAGATGGGTCAAAGCGCTCCTTGTGGGAGCCAGTGAACTTGGTTGTGTCTGTGAGCCGCGACACAGTGGGTGAGGACACAGCTTTCTGCAAGAAAAGAGTCAGGGGCAGTGTTGCCAATAACCCACTGCAGAGGCGGGGGGTGGGGGAGGTGCTGCCACCTGCGCCTGCTTGGGTGCACATCCAGACATGGCCTGCCTCTCCTAGCCCCTGACAGCCCCTCTGCCATGCTGCCAAGCCTGTTTATGCAGTGCCGACCTCTAGGGACTGCTTGTGGCCTCCCCAGGGGAGGGACAGTGATCACAGCCAGGCTCATCCTACCCTCCAGGCCCTTCCCCCCACCAATGCCCCACACTCACCGTGACCCCCGAGATGACTGGCGCCCGGCCCTCAATGAGCTGGTGCACCTCACGCACAGCCTCCTCTTTGCTCTTGTCCTTGAAGCGCTTTGTAGCCAGCTCCTCAAGCGCCTCCTGGAACTGCTCAAAGGTGATGGTGCGGCAGGACTTCCCCCTGTGGGCAGCAGCCTGTAAGCCAATGGCAGAGGCCTAGGGAACCAGCCCACAGCATAGCCAGCGTCCTGCCCCATGCTTTGCTTCATAGTGACCTAGCAGGCAGGGGCCATGGGTGTCCAGCAACTGCGAACTTCATGGAAAGAGCTTTGAGGACGCATGATCTTGTGAGCCATCAGACACAAGAACAGTCGTGGTCTGGGGCTGCCTCCACTTGAGTGCAGAGGGAAAACGGGGGAGAGGAGCCTGTCTCTCCCAGGGTCACCACAGCTGGGCCAGGGGGCTAGGAAGGAGCCCAGAGACATGCTGGGGGCTGCTGCTGGAACCTGAGGTCAGGTCACCACAGGGCAGAATCAGGAGGAGCTGCCTCCCCAGCCCACACCTGCACCCCCAGACCCCTGCCTGAACCAGGTCAGCTGAGGCTGGAGCAGCCTGAGCAGAGGCGGCCAGCCCGCGTGTGTACCTGGCTACCATACATCATCCACTACATCTGTGGGTTGCACAGACTCAGCCCTCTGAGATCAAAAGGCAATTTTCAACAAAACTCTGAAGCTGCTCTTTATCTTCTGTAATTCTACTTAAGAGTGTTCTGCTTTGACCCCAGCTAATCCACATGAGGAGGTGTTCAGTGTGTTGACACAGGGCAATGGGGAGAAGACTCAGTCTGCAAAGGTTCTGCACAACACTGGGCACTGGGAGACTTCGGGTGGGCTGAGGAGGCCCCCAGCAGCACACAGCCCCACAGAGGCTCATGTAGCCATCCTGGAGCAGAGGACCTCGCACAGCCAGCGTGACTCGAAGTCCAAGAACAGAGCCAGAGGACTGATGCTATGGGGTTCTGAAATGTGCCGCAGAGCCACAGCGGCAGCAAGACAATACTGACAAGGCCCAGAGTCCAGGAGCAGCTCCACTGTGCAGCCAGCTGATTTGCAAAGGTGTAGAGGCAAGCAGAGGAGAAAGGCCTGTCTCGGGAAACAGCAGGACAACCGGGGTCCCTGCGCATACATACAGACACATACAGTCCGTACTCTGCCCTGCTTGCAGAATAAATCCAGAAGAGATCCCAGTCCTTACTGTGGGGCCATGGCCAGCTTCTGGAAGGATGCTTAGGGGAAAACCTTTGTGCCCTTGAGTCAGACCGAAGTACCTCTAAAAATGACATCAAAACACTTCTATAATGAAAGAAAATAGGTAAATTGAACTTTACCAAAGTTTTTAAACCATGCTCTTCAAACGACATTAAGAGGAAGAAAAGGCAAGCCACAGATTGGGGGAAAGTACTTGCAAAACACAAACCTGATTTAAAAAATAGAATTTATATCTAAAATACACAACTTTTAATACTTAACAGTTAAAAAAAAATACCCTCAGCCCTCCCCGCCCCCAGTGAGTATGGTGACCCCGCGAGAGACTCCAGGACTGGGTCCTGGCACACCAGAGGGCTGTAGCTGTTCCCTTACACTTCGAAGCCACATTGAGCTAAAAGGGCCAAGGGCCACCCTGCCTTATGCCTCCAGCAGGGCCCAGCCACAGGCAAGAGTGACTGGGGCCAGGCAGAGCCCTGGAGGCGCCTCAGATCCAAAATGACCAATGAAGAACCTCTTCCCAAAAAGGTTTAACCAAGTGAAACAGACTTCAAAGTTATGGCGTGAGATGAGTTAATTCTGAGATGGAAACAAAATGAAGCATATGTTCAAGCTTTGGTGGGCAAATACACAGATCTTAACTCAAACCATGTAACTGGCTTACGGGAATCTGAGAAAAGCTAAAGCAACAACAGCAAGAGTCTGTATGCAGGGAAAACCTCCTTGTCATGAGACTAGCAACCAAGGAGCAAGAGATGCCAGAGTGGACTATTCAGTCCAATACCTCAAGCAAGTCCAGCAGTGAGTGTTGCCTAACTGAGATCAACAATGGTAGACCCAGAGATCAACTTGTTTATCCTAAAATGAAAGGTGAACTGGAACAAACTAAAGACAAACTGGGACAAACCCAAAATGAACTGAGTGCCTGGGAGTTTACGCCTGATAGCCAAACAGGCAAAAAGTTAAGGGCAAAGTGTCGATTGCTTATCCAGGAGAACCAGGAGCTTGGAAAGCAGCTGTCCCGGGGCTGTATTACACAGCTTGAAGCAGAGCTGGCTTTACAGAAGAAATAGTGAGGCGCTTAAGAGCAGTCAGGATGCAGTGAATGACTTCATGATTCAACTTGATGAAGAAATGCAGGGTATGCAGAGCACCATTTTAGTTTTTCAGCAGCAACTGAAGGAGACTCGCCAGCATTTGGCTCAGTACCAACAGCAGCAGTCTCAAGCCTCCACGCCAAGCACCAGCAAGACTACCTCTTCTGAACCTGCAGGACAGGCGGAGGCCACAAGTAAAGACTGCAGTCAGCTGGCAAATGAACCACGTAATGGCAGCTCCTCCCATCAGAGGTCTTCCTGGTCTGGATTTCACAGGAAGGGGACACAACTGAGAATGGCTTTCCTTCTTCTCCAGGGAATGGTAATAAGGCCTCCAACAGCTCAGAGGAGAAAACTGCCAGAGGAGGTCGTGGTTATGTAAACCAACTCACTGTGGGGTATGAAAGTGCAGACTCCCCGAGGGGAGTGAAAACTCTCACACCACTCAAATGACACAGACTCCAATCATGACCCTCCAGGGGAGAAAGCAGTGAGTGAGAAAGGTAACCGAACTGTGGGTTCCCGCCATGTTCAGAATGGCTTGGACTCGTGTAAATGCGCAGGGTTCAGTTTTGTAATATTTTTCCAGCAGATTTTTATACAGTGTCCTTTAATTTGGGAAAAGATACTGTCCAGAAAATTACTGCATACTTTTGTTACAACTTGCATTTCTGTGGCAGGTGTTTTGGTTTGGTTTAGTTGGCTGGTGTTGGGTTTTTTTTTTTTTTTTTTT